ACCGGGGGATACCAGAGACAAGAACACGGGAGGCCATGCCTCGGAGACGAGGCAGGGAGGGATGACCAAGACGGTGGTGCCAAAGGAGAGTCTGGTGGGACAGGAGACGACACGAGTAGGGAGCAGACTCAGGATCAGACCTGGACGCTGCAGCAAACACCTGACTCGACGCAGCTACCTCACCAGAATCAGCAGCCGGAGGAGACTCAGTAGTAAGGGTGTACAGGCTCGACCCTGGCCGACGAGTGAACGTGGCCAAGTGTCGGCCTGTCCGAGCAGACGTGCAGTGGGTCACCCGCTGACTCGCAGGAGTGAACTGGTCAACCCTCCTATCCTATAGGTCCGCTCCACTCACCAAGTTCGTAGAGAACGAGGGGAGGTAGAGACCTGACAGGGTGCCAGAGTGGGCTGCCGGGCACGGTAAGACAGTGGAGAAGCGAGCAAGGACAGGACCCCCAGAGGGGTCCGCCAGGGAGACTGCAACCGGCCGACTAAGCGGCGTAAGCGTGGTGCGGTCTCGAAAGAAGGAGCGGGAAGCACCCGAGTCAAGGGTGAAGGTGTGTAAGGCCTGAGCCGACGTAGTACGTGAGAGAGCAGACTCACCAGCACTTGGGGCAGCAGACACACTAGCACCAGGGGCAGCAGACGCACTAGAACCTAGAGCAGCAGCCTCACCAGCACCTAGACCAGTAGCCTCAATGCCCAGGTCAGGCAGTACACACAGGTAACAGTCACCCTCAGCACTAGCAAACACAGCATACATGGCAGCAAGGATAGCATTATAGTCAAGATCAAAGATGGCAACCCCCGCCCTAGACAGATCTCCCCAGCGAGGGATCTCTGACGCCTCGGGGAACTGGTGATGCCACGCGTCCGTCAGGCAGCCGGAGCAGCGCTGGGTGGAGTGCGGACCCCCACACTGCTCACCAGCGTGGTCGCCGGGACGGAGGACGTAAGTGCAGGGACCAGTACCCCCACCGTGCTGACGCGCAGCGTACCACTCATGAAGCTGCTGAGGGGACAGGGTCTCACGACTGTGTTGCTGCTGCTTGGGCGGACCACCACCGGACCCACTCCTCTGCGCAGAGTCGCGACCAGCTCCACCGCCGCCGCCGTCGCCGCCTCCGAAGCCTCCGCCTCCTCCGCCGCCTCCGCCGCCTCCGCTCCCTCCGCCACCACCGCCGCCTCCTAATCCACCACCGCTGCCACCGCCGCCTCCACCCCCGCCACCACTCCCACCACCACCCCCACCCCCTCCACTGCCTCCACCACCACCTCCACCGCCCCCGCTAGCCCCTCCAGCTCCCTTGACCCCCTTGCCCTTGCCGGTGCGGCGTCTCTCACTAGGGGCAGACGCAGCGCCGACCCCGTAGAAACCAACGAGGCCGGCAGCAGCAGCAGAAGCAACAGAGGGCAAGAGGGGGGGGGGGAAACACCCCTCAAAGATGGGGGTGCGAGGGTCACCACGAGAGGCTCCTACAGCGACTATGCTCTTCTCTGCTGCCATGAGGCGCTCCTCGAGGAGGTCAACGGTGAGTGTGGTGGGGCAAACTGAGAGGAAGTGGTCCCTGACTAAGCGAAGAGAGTCAGGGAGCTGGGTGACTATGTAGTAGAGGGTGATATACATGGGGGGGGGGGGGGGGGTTCTTGGCGCAGAACTCAGTAGGAAGCGCAGCGCGGTAGCGAGTGTCACTAGTGCGGAGGTGCGTAATGAGGTCAGCGACTGTGGGAAAGGCAGCAAGGTCAGGGAAGAGGCACGGTAGCATGAGTCGGCTCAGTGCAGCAGTGGCGGGGGAAGAGTAGCGTGCAACTACAGCGTCGTACAAGGTCTGAGCACTCTTGTACTGGCTAAAGTGTGCACGCTCAGTGGTCGGTACGTGGCGACGCACAGCAAGACGGGCAGCAGCATCGCGTGTCGCCCACTGTGAGCGAACAGTGCTGTCAGCAGTAGCAGGCGGGGCAGGGGAGGCACCAGAGGTGAGGTCGAACAGGGAGAGGCCGTCTGCCCTATCGCATTGGAGGAACAGCTGGAGGTCATCGACCCAGACCTCAAAGTCAACAGCACGACCCTCAGTATCAAAGGTAAGAACACTGGGGGTAGCCATGACTGCAGTGGCCTAGCAAGGAGTGAGCTCACCAGTCCGAGTAAGTGGGTCCGGGGCGCGCCGGTAGGACGAGGAGCGGCTCGACGGCAGGGCGGCTCGGCTGCTCAGCGGCTTTGCTGCTGGGCGGCTTGGCTGTCGATCGGCTCAGCAGTTCGGCTGCTGGGCGGCTTGGCGGCTCGGCTGCTGGGCGGCTTGACAGCTCGGCTTCTGGGCGGCTCGGTTGCTGGGCGGCTCGGCTGCTCGGCGGCTCGGCTGCTGGGCGGCTCGGTTGCTGGGCGGCTGGGCGGCTCGGCGGCTCGGCTGCTGGGCGGCTCGGCGGCTCTGTTGTTGGGCGGCTCAGCTGCTGGGCTGCTCGATAGGGGCGGCGTTGGGGCCGCTAGGAGCGGCGACGGGGCCGCTTAGAGAGGGGAGCGGCGACGAGGCCGTGTAGTGGCGGCGATAGGGCCGCGTAGGGGCGGCAACGGGGCCGCTTAGGGGCGGCGACGGGGCCGCTTAGGGGCGGAGACGGGGCCGCTTAGAGCGTGTAACTTTTTTGCATTTTGTGATTTTGACGTACCGTCCGATTATATGGAATCGGACGGTACGTTTATAACGAACCGGACTGTCCGATTTGAATGTTTGCAACTTCGGACGGTACGAATGCATATGTGACACTTTTTCCACATGCTAGGGTTCCGCGATGGTTTTCCTTTCGCCATCTCAAATGTACACCAGTAACGCCAGTAACAATCCATCGCAATTTTCGCCTGTGGAGTTCAGCGCTTGGGACATACATTTTGTGGTTGGTTGTATTGTAGTGAGGCTAGTTGTGGTTGGTCAATGTCAACTTTTGAATCCGAGCCGCATTTTCCAATGTTTTGGCGAGGCGGTCCGCTGAAATCCAAATTCGCCCGCCAATCGCGTGCGCGGACAGGCGGACAGTCTGTTTGTGTTTCGGACCGTCCGTTGTCAGAGTTTCGTGTCGTTGGAAAGTGGAAAAAGTGTCATGACGGTTCGTTCTTGTAGCGACGTCGCACACATCCTCGCGAAGAACTGCACGACATTAAACGACGATGGTAACCCTTCGCATCGACGTACGGTCCATGGTTCGTTCCGTCGCGTGCAAAAAAGTTACACACCCTTAGGGTGAGAGGCGGCGACGGGGCCGGTAGGGGCGGCGACGGGGCCGCTAGGGGTGGCGACGGGGCCACGTATGGGCGGCAACGGGGCCGTGTAGGGTGAGAGGCGGCGACGGGGCCGCGAGGGGTGGCGACGTGGCCGCTAGGGGCGGCGACGCGGCCGCTAGGGGCGGCGACGGGGTCGCGTAGGGGCGGCGACGGGGCTGCGTAGGGTGAGAGGCGACGACGGGGCCTCTAGGGGCGGCGACGGGGCCGCTAAGGGCGGCGACGGGGCCGCGGAGGGGCGGCGACGGGGCCGCGTAGGGGCGGCGACGGGGCCGCGTAGGGTGAGAGGCGGCGACGGGGCCGCGTAGGGTGAGAGGCGGCGACGGGGCCGCTAGGGGCAGCGACGGGGCCGCTAAGGGCGGCGACGGGGCCGCGTAGGGGCGGTAACGGGGCCACGTGAGGGGCGGCGACGAGGCTGCTAGGGGCCACTAGGGGCCTGGAAAGGGCGGCAAAAAAGGCGTGCCTCGGGCAGGAGCGACTGGCGCTCCGGTTAGAAAGGAAATTTTCAGTCGTGGGCCCAAGGAAGCGTTCCGGTTAGAAAGGAAATTCCCAAGGCACTAGGGAACATGCTCTATACCATGTCAGAATGAGGAATGAATGAACTAGCAAGCAGGTGGGTACAAGTAGGAAAACCTAGAAGTGTTGTACCCCATATAGTCTACCCCACTACAGCCTACACAGACTATAGCATATAAGTTTGACACGGGTGAATCTTCCTCTACACCAATGGCAAGCAGGATGGAGAGGGTGCAGCACAGCATGATGACAACAACAACGGTGATATGTCGGCCGAGTCAGAGGATGAGATGGGCAAGAACAATGACATGTCCGACGATGACTAATGATTAGTTGGCCCCTAATTGTAGGAAGATTCACAAGTGACTATTTGAAGACTGTGTTTCTCCTTGTGCTAGAATTGACATGTGTATGTGAAGATAGTAGGTCCCTATGATGTTTAGGAAGGAATATTGTATGTTTGGCAATGCAGAAGTAAGAAAAGAAAAAAAAAAAAAAAAAAAAAAAAAAAAAAGGGGGTGGGGTGGGGGGGGGGGGGGGGGGGGGGGGGGGGGGGGGTCTTATAACTTTTTACTTCGTTTTAGAGGACCCTCTGCCGTGATGGGGTCCAGTGGGACTTTCTTACCGGCGGGTTGTAGGGTACGTTCCGGACAAGATGTGCCATAATAGTTCGTGTCACAATCGGTTGTACAGCTCTGCACCAAATTATACCGAATAACATCCAAGTATCAAGCATTATTGAAAATTTTCGAACTTAGGTGTAGTTTGGTGCAGAGCGGTACGACCGATTGTGGCGTGAATTTTTGTGACGCGTCTTGTCCCGAATGTACTGTTAGATGCAGGGGAATATGGTATGTATATAATATGAGCATTTTACCACTTCTTATCATAGCGTAATCACATGGATAGTATACATATATGTCGAATCTCATACATTCGCAAAAAAATAAAAGCCTCTACCTAAAATAGTGACCCCCCCTTTCTAGTTGGGTCCAACTTCAAGACTCTGTGTGATACATTTGGAAAGTTGAAGTGCAGCGAGTTTCGTTTTGCACCATTTCCTGGTACTCCATCTTTATATTGTCTAACTGCTTCAGAAGTGATAGTTCTGACACCGAAACCTTGGCCTAGTACGTATCCATTCACTATTCTCATGCTTCAAATGCCGAGCTGTAGGATTCCGAGAACATGTCCAGCTGCAGCTGAATCGTGGCGCTCACGCTGTGCATTAAGACCCAAAAGGCGGGTGTTGCACGCTGTAAGTAATCCGCTTGTAGCATTTTCAACTGCTCCATAGCGTCGTCAATAATACCATTCTCCATAATAAATGGGTACTCCATGGGTCACAAAGAAATCCCACAAATTTGTCACACGTGCTTTCATTCGCAACCGTAGTGCCCATTTGCGGAAGTTGGAGCCGTCAAACGAATTCGTGGTGAACGCCTTGTCCACCATTGCTCCCACCATTTTGCGTAACAGTCATTCCTTGTCTTCTTTCGTGTATTCTCGTCGTCGAGCGAGGTTGAAGAGCCACGGGTTGAGCCCCCATAGCCTCCACCCCTGCCGGCTCCACCCCAACCGCCTCCACCACCCCCGCCGCCTCCACCACCCTGGCCACCTCCACCACCCCCGCCACCTCCACCGACTCCACCTCCGGTGCCACCTCCATCGCCTCCACCCCCACCACCACCACCCCCGCTACCACCACCGCTAGCGCCACCCCCACCTCCCTTACCCCTCTTGCCCTTGCCGATGCGGCGCCTATCACTAGGAGCAGACACACCGCCGACTTCCTCAGCACCAAGGGGGTCGACAGCAGCAGCAGTGGCAACTGAGGGTATGAGATGGGAGGGAGCACACCCCTCAAAGAAGGGGGAGCGGGGAGTGACACGAGAGATAGCGACAGTGACAATACTGGTCTCAGCCTCGAGAAGGTACTTCTCCAGCGAGGCAAGCGTGAGCTCAGTGGGGTCAAGGGCGAGAAAGTGGTCCCTAACTGTGCGGAGGGAGTCCGGGAGGCAGGTGACAAGGAAGTACAGGGTGATATAAAGTGGGGGGGGGGGAGAGTTCTCTTTGAGGAAGTCCGGCTTGAGAGCGGCGCGGTAGCGAGTCTCACTAGAGCGGAGGTGGGTCATGAGGTCATCAACAGTGCAGAAATTTGAGAACTCAGGAAAGAGGTACGGCAGAATGGTGGTCTACGACAGCAGTAGCTGGGGAGGAGTAACGAGCGACAACTGCTGTCTTGTGCTGGCCAAAATGGGCTCTCTCAGCTAGCGGGAGGTGATTGCAGACAGCAAGGCGAGCAGTAGCGTCACGTGTGAGCCACTTCGACTGATCTGAGCGGTCAGCTGTAGCAGGTGGGGTGAGGAGGGATCCGGACGTATGTTCTATCAGTGAAACTCCATCCCTAGCCTCGCTCTGCAGGAACAGCTAGAGATCATCAAGCCAAATGTCAAAGCTAATCGGGTGACCCTCTGCATCAAAGCTAAGAACCGAGATGGTGGCCATAGTGGCAGGAGCAGGAGCAGCAGCAGCAGCAGTAGCAGCAGTAGGGCAGTGCGGCTTGGTAAGGGATGATGGATGAGGTTTCTGGCTCTAAGAAGACTTGTGACAAAGAGCACATGACATTGAGTGATTATGATGATGAGATGTGAATTATAAGTCTTTGTTCTAACAATTCATGATAATAATGGCATAAATGGCATGCTATAGACTCGCAATTGGATTATGATCAGTAGTAGTAATACTGTATTCGGGTTTCCAAAACTTCGAGCCTCTATTGGGGGAGTTGGAGCATGGGACAAGGTGGTGGTCACTGTTTTGAGTCAAAGGAAGATCAGGTCAAAATGCACTGGGTTATGATCCCATGGTGAAACTTGAGCGAAGCAAGAAAGGCATGGATGTAATGGGGAGGGAGAAACACGCTACGATAAAATGAGAGGGGAATGGAAAGGTCCAAGTGCAATCGTATCTCTCACCCTAAGCATTCCATTGTACAACTATAATCTTTGTGTGAAATACAGAACCTAAAAACTAGGGCCCAAATTATCAGGGTAGAATACCCTTTTTGCCCTGATGGTAGGCTGCTTTTTCCCAGTTACCCTTGCCAAATCAGGGTATTGAAATTTTTACCCTAGTGAAATCAGGATAAGCTGTGAAGTACACTAATAATCAATTTGATTACCCTAACGGTATCAAGGTACGATGCCAACTACACTGATACCGAATATTTTTTTACCGCGGATTCCGCCACATATCGCATGCAGACATAAATCACCACGGGTCCACTGCCACACTTGTCTCTCTCGACCACAGCTGCACGACCGTCAAATTTTGGCGGCGGCACGCTTTCCATTTGGTCCTTAGAGCCACTATTGCGCAAACTCACCCGGGTTAAGGGCCACACAAAGCCACGTTCACTGCCAATGGTGCCAATTTGTGCATCACATGACAGTCGATATTGTGCTGCACTGCAGCAACTGCCATGCAATTCCCGCGTTGCCAGTGCGCCAGGCACTGATTAGTTGTGTTTGCATTGCTTAAGTAGTTAAATGGACTAATATTTGTGAAAGTAATGAGTTAAACCTATTGCATTACAAAAACGTAACAACAATTTTACCCTAGTAAAATCAGATACGGAATCAGATACGGAACAATTGTAACAGGATTTTTAGGCTGTTTTAGGCTGCTGGCATCAGGGTACGGAAATTTTTACCCTAAGGGTCAGGGTATGGGGTGGGGGGCCTGGTTCATGAGAAAAGAGAATGATTGAACTAACCCTAATTGGGTTGTACCCCTTATGGGCTACCCCACTACAGCCTACACAAATGTATAAGCTATAATGTTCTGACACACCCCCATAGGCAAAGTGGGGGAGAACAAGTGGTCGCAAGACCATTCAAGCAAAGCAAAGCAAGCTCAGGGTGGATCACAAAGTCACCACACAGTCCGAGCACAAGAGTAAGGCCACAAGGCCAGTTCACATGCAAGATCATATATATAAAGGTAAACAAGCAAGTGCAGGTATAGAAAAAGTACAGTACAAACAAGATCAAGAAGTGAGCAAGTGAGGCCAGGTAGGCACAAGACCTAGCAAAGTACAGAAGCGCTGATGATCACAAGGCGGAAGGGCCTTGGTGAAGATATCAGCAGTGTTGGCCTCAGAGGCCACATAGGTGAGGCGGACCTGACCACGCTGCTGCAGGTCACGAGCCAGGAAGTAGCGAAGAGCAATGTGCTTCGTTCTGTGCTCCAGTCTGTGCTCCCGACACAAGGCCAGCATGGCCTTGTTGTCTACGTACAGAACTGGAGGAGAACAAGGCGGCTCTCCTAGGTCAGTCAGCAGGTAGGTGAGCCAGCGTAGCTCCTGTGCAGCCATGGCCCCTGCGTAGATCTCAGCCTCACAGCTGGAGCCGAGAACAGAAGACGAGCGGGTAGACCGCCACGAAACAGAGCCGGAGCCAAGGCTGAAGGTGTAACCCTGTGACGACCGCTAGAGAGCCTGGTCGTCAGCCCAAGAAGCGTCACCGTGACCTGTAAGGACCACTCGACATCGCCCTCCAAGCACTAGCCCCATGCCCGACGTACTGCACACGTAGTGCAATACCCTCTTCGCTGCAGCCATGTGCTCTGGTCGGTGCCTCCCAGGAGCAACATAGCGTGCCAAGATGCTAAGAGGGTATGCAAGGTCAGATCATGTGCAGGTCATCAGGTAAATGAGGCAGCCAACAAGCTCTGGGTACGGGCCACTCGACTCTACGGACTCATCCGAAGGCAGAGCTGAGACCGAGTGGCGAGTAGACAGAGGAGTGGCTTGAGGCGAGAGTATGTCAAGCCGAAGCGCTGAAGGACCTGCTGCACCATGTGTGACTGAGTCAGGGTAATGGTGCGCTGTGCTCCGTCCCGGGTGATCTGCAAGCCAAGGTAGCTGCGCAGTTCACCCAGGTCTGTGCACATGTGTCTCTTCTTTAGCTCGGACTTCACGTGGGCGAGTCCAGCAGTGTTAGCAGTGGCAAAGACCAAGTCGTCGACGTACACGAGGATGTAGAACGGCGGCAGAGAGGTGTCGGTGCGCAGAAACAGCGACGGGTTGGCTGTAGAAGGAGCAAACCCAATAGCCGCAAGTGTAGTCCTCAGTGTGTCGTGCCACTCACGGGGCGCCTGGCGGAGACCGTAGACTGGCCGTCGGAGGCTCCACTGGGTACCAGGAGGAAACGACCCAGTGAAGCCAGGAGGGCGGCGCAGCCAGATCTCCACGTCCAGGCTGCCCTGCAGGAAAGCTGTGCTGAAGTCAAGAGAGTGAGGCTCGTAGTCGCGCTGAGCGGCTATGTGCAGCAGCACCCGAAGAGTGGTCATCTTCGGGGTGGGAGAGAAGGTCTGAAAATAGTCAACTCCCTATCGCTGACTGAAGCCTCGAGCCACGTAACGCGCCTTGAAGACAGGCAAAGAACCCGGCGGCCGCTTCACCCTGAAAATCCACATGCCACTGACCATGTTCGCCCCAAGTTGGGGAACCTCGTCGACGTAGGTGCCTGTGGACTTCCAGGAAGCCATCTCTACGTCCATGGCTGACTGCCACTGAGAGGAGTAGGGACCCTCGATCGCCTCAGCGTACGATCGAGGAGTCGGGATGTCTGGTGCATCCGGGTCTCCCTCAGGGGCAATCAGCGTTGACACGAGATGGGGCAAAGCAGCAGCAAAGCACTGGAACTCCTCCTGCCTGTCCTCAAGGACGTCCGTGCTAAGAGCACACTCACCCCCGACGGACGGAGCACAGACAGACTCAGACTCAGCAACGAGACTGGCAGCGTAGTCTAGACGACAGCGAGCAACGAAGTACGGCCTCTGCCGCGCAGCGCCTCCAGAACCAGCAAGGACGGCACCAGTACTCCCAGCGGTAGAACCAGTGCCAACAGCACCTCCAGCTCCAACAGCGCCAACTCTAGTACCCTCAAAAGCACCAGCACTAGCGGCACCACCAGCGCCAACACCCCCAGCAGCTCCAGCTCCAGCAGCACCAACTCCAGTAGGACCGTCAGCACCAGCAGTCTCAGCAGTACCCCCAGACGCACGAGCGCCAGTAGAAACACCAGCGCAAGTAGAAACACCAGCGCCAACACCCCCAGCAGCTCCAGCTCCTGCAGCACCAGCACCACCAGCAGCTCCAACAGGACCAACTCTAGTAGCCCCAGTAGCACCCCTAGTCTCAGCAGCACGTCTCTAGCGTCGGGCAAACCACTCGCGTAGCTCCTGTGGAGAGAGCGGCTCCCGCCTCGACGAAGCACCGCCGGCGGCCACACGAGCAGACCCAGCGTCCCCAAGCTCAGCACCCCCAGGATCCGCACCCCCAGGCTCCGCACCCCCAGGCTCCGCACCCCCAGTCTCAGCATCCCCAGACTCATCACCCCCAGTCTCAGCACCCCCAGTCTCAGCACCCCCAGACCCGGCACCCGCAGGCTCAGCACCTCTAGCAGCACCAGAGTCAACAGCTACCTCGACAGGCTCGACTGCGTCTACCTGGGACACACCTGACGGGGCAGGACCTTGAGGGGGGAGGGGGTCTACCGGGGGAGGACCTGGTGCAAGGAAGAGCCGCGGCGGGGGGAGAGGCGCAGTGCGGTAGGGGAAGAGACGGTAGTAAGGTACCGACTCGTCAAAGGTGACGTCCTGGGAGGACAGAACACGGCGCGAGGTGGGGTGGTAAAACTGCCAACCAGGCGCATCAGGGGGGAAGCCAAGGAAGACGCAGGGAACAGCACGGGGGGACAGCTTGTCCGCAGACAAGTCGCAGACAAACGCCCGAGATCCCCAGACCCTAAACGCAGACGCATCGCCAACCTTCCCGGTCCACCGCAAGGCGGGGGAGGTCTCTGGCAAGGAGACCCGGGGCTGAAGGTTGAGCTGATGCGCGGCGTACTGAACCGCAAACGGCCACAGAAAATGGGGGGCAGCCGCATGCATCATGGACGTACGAGCGACGTCCATGACCATGCCAATGCGGCGCTCAGCAATCCCTATTTGTTGTGGAGAGGCCGGAAGCGTGAAGGTCTGGCGGATGCCCTGTACACGATAGAAGGCTCCCAGACGGGCAGAGGAAAACTCCTCGCCTCTGTCCGAGTGCAGACGCAGAACAGGAAAGTCCGAGCCGAAACTCTCTCGGAGCTGGAGACGAGCTGCGCGGATCAAGTCAATCAACACTTCAGTGACGTCACCCTTGGTGCGCAAGGGGAAGACTGTGGTGTAACGCGAGTAGTCGTCAACCACCAGCAGGAAGTACCGCTCGCGCCCGTGCCCTCTGACGCGGGCTGGGCCCCACACGTCCATGTGGAGAGTCTGCAGCGGAGCCTCTGTCGGAGGGAACTCGGAGGAGTGAGGGGCGGCGCGCTGTCGCCCCTCGACGAAGGGGACGCAGGTAGGGCCAGGCCCCGGAGGAAGGGGAGGGAGAGACCGAGGGAGACCAGAGACAAGGACACGAGAGGCCATGCCTCGGAGACGAGGCAAGGAGGGGTGACCAAGGCGGTGGTGCCAAAGGAGAGTCTAGTGGGACAGGAGACGACACGAGCAGGGAGCAGACTCAGGACCAGACCTGGACGCCGCAGCAAACACCTGACTCGACGCAGCTACCTAGGCAGACTCAGCAGCAGGAGGAGACTCAGTAGTAAGGGTGTACAGGCTCGACCCTGGCCGATGGGTAAACGTGGCCAAGTGTCGGCCTGTCCAAGCACACGTGCAGTGGGTCACTCGCTGGAGTGAACTGGTCAACCCCCCGATCCTGTAGGTCCGCTCCACTCACCAAGTTCGTAGAGAACGAGGGGAGGTAGAGACCAGACAGGGTGCCAGAGGGGGCTGCTGGGCACGGTAGGACAGTGGAGAAGCTAGCAAGGACAGAACCCCCAAAGGGATCTGCCAGGGAGACTGCAACCGGCCGACTGAGCGGCGTAAGAGTGGTGCGGTCTCGAAAGAAGGAGCGGGACGCACCCGAGTCCAGGGTGAAGGTGTGGAAGGCCTGAGCCGACGTAGTACCTGAGAGAGCAGACTCACCAGCACCTGGGGCAGCAGACGTACTGGCACCTGGGGCTGCATACGCACTAGCACCTAGAGTAGCAGCCTCACCAGCACCTAGAGCAGCGGCCTCAATGCCCGGGTCAGGCGGTACACACAGGTAACAGTCACCCGCAACACTAGTATCAACAACATACATGGCAGCAAGAATAGCATCAAAATAAAGATCAAAGATAGCAACCCCGGTCTTAGACAGATCTCCCCAGCGAGGGATCTTTGACGCCTCAGGGAACTGGCGACGCCACGCGTTAGTCAGGCAACCAAAGCAGCGCTGGGTGGAGTGCGGGCCTCCGCACTGCTCACCAGCGCGGTCGCCGGTACGGAGGACGTAAGAGCAGGGACCAAAACCCCCACCGCGCTGACGAGCAGTGTACCACTCACGAAGCTGCTGAGGGGACAGGGTCACACCACCCCGCTGCTGCTGGCGCGGACCACCACCTGAGCCACTCCTCTGCGCAGAGTCGCGACCCGCTCCACCACCGCCGCCGCCACCGCCTCCGCCGCTTCCTCCACCTCCGCCTCCTCCGCCACCTCCGCCGCCTCCGCTCCCTCCGCCACCTCCACCGCCTCCGCCTCCTCCACTGCTGCCGCCGCTGCCGCCACCCCCGGCACCACTCCCACCACCACCCCCACTCCCTCCACTACCTCCACCACCACCTCCACCGCCCCCTCCAGCCCCTCCAGCGCCCTTGCCCCCCTTGCCCTTGCTGGTGCGGCGTCTCCCGCTCGGGGCAGACGCAGCGCCGACCGACTCGAAACCAACGAGATCGCCCGCAGCAACAGAGGCAACAGAGGGCAAGAGGGGGGAGGGAGAACACCCCTCAAAGACGGGGGTGCGAGGGTCACCACGAGAGGCTCCTACAGCGACTATGCTCTTCTCTATCGCTAGGAGAGCCTTCTCGAGGAGGTCAACGGTGAGAGCGGTGGGGCAAACTGAGAGGAAGTGGTCCCTGACTACGCAGAGAGAGTTAGGGAGCCGGGTGACTATGTAGTAGAGGGTGATGTACATGGGGGGGGGGGGGGGGTTCTTGGCGCAGATCTCAGCAGGAAGCGCAGCGCGGTAGCGAGTGTCACTAGTGCGGAGGTGCGTAATGAGGTCAGCGACTTTGGGAAAGGCAGCAAGGTCAGGGAAGGGGTACGATAGCATGAGGCGGCTCAATGCAGCAGTGGCAGGGGAAGAGTAGCGTGCAACTACAGCATCGTACAAGGTCTGAGCACTCTTGTACTGGCTAAAGTGTGCACGCTCAGTGGTCGGTAAGTGGCGGTGCACAGCAAGGCGAGCAGCAGCATCGCGCGTGGCCCACTGTGAGCGAATAGTGGCGTCAGCATCAGCAACAGGGGCAGGGGAGGCACCAGAAGTGAGGTCAAACAGGGAGAGGCCGTCTGCCCTATCGCACTGAAGAAACAGCTGGAGGTCATCGACCCAGACCTCAAAGTCAACGGCACGGCCCTCATCATCAAAAGTGAGGAGACTGGGGGTAGCCATGACTGCAGTGGCCTAGGAGGAAGCGAGCTCACCAGTCCGAGGAAGGAGGGGCCGGGGAGCACCGGTAGGAACAGCAGCTGCTAGACAGTAGGGCGGCTCGGCGGCTCGGCGGCAGGGCGGCTCGGCTGCTGGGCGGTTCGGCGGCAGGGCGGCTCGGCTGCTGGGCGGCTCAGTTGCTGGGCAGCTTGGGTGCTGTGCTGCTCGGCGGCTCGGTCGCTAGTGGCGGTGATGGGGCCGCTAGGTTAGGGCGACAGGGCCGCTAGGTGGCGGTGGGGCCGCAGGTGGCGACGACGGGGCCGTAGGTGGCGGTGGGGCCGTAGGTGGCGGCGGAGGGGCCGTAAGGGGCCTAGGCGGGGCCGTAAGGGGCCGTACGGGGCGGAGGGGTCTAGACGGGGCCGCAAGGGGCCTAGACGGGGCCGCGGAGGGGCCGTAAGGGGCCTAGGCGGGGCCGCGGAGGGGCCGTAAGGGGCCTAGGCGGGGCCGTAAGGGGCCTAGGCGGGGCCGTAAGGGGCCGTATGGGCGGCGCGAGGGGCCTTAGAGGGCGGCGCGAGGGGCCGTAAGGGCGGCCAAAGGGGCCACTAAGGGCGGCTCGAGGGTAGGTAGGGCACACGAAACGCGACTCGGGTAGGAGTGAAGCACGCTCCGGGCAGGAAAAAAAAAAGTCGTGGTGGGCCCTAGGCAGCATTCCCATTCGGGAACCTGCTCGATACCATGTTGAGAAACGAGAATGATTGAACTATGAAAGAGTTGGGTACAAGTACTAACCCTAAGTGGGTTGTACCCCTTATGGGCTACCCCACTACAGCCTACACAAATGTATAACTATAATGTTCTGACACTGGTACCCTGATTTGCAAGAGTGGACCTAAACCTATTTTGGGCCCTGCTAAAAACACTTTCCGCACCCACCTCCACACATCCAAGCTTGCCCACTTTTAAAGCGGTGACAACCCCCATATGTTTATCCCCCTTCTCACCTGAGCACAACACAGTCCTCTACCCACGCCATCATCTCAGCATTTTTCCGTATCATTCAGAACCTTGGGATCTCCGAACTCACTCCCGCCCTGCCATACAAACTTGTCAGGTACTCTCATGTGAAGCCATACGCCCCACCACCACCGCCTTTTTGCTCGACGCGCCATGGGAAGCGAATGATTGGTGAATGCTCAGGTCATGTGGGGAATGTGCTGGTAGCAGGGTGGGAGAATGGGAGGAGGTGGCGAGAGGGGAGAACCGATGCTGGTACATGGCTTCAGCTTTTGACATGATATCTGGCCGTGGCCTGTTGGTGGAGCCTCGCTACTGTCTGCCTCACTGCAGCCTAGCATACACAAATATATGCTCATATAGTTTGACAGTCTACTAGGCACTGCCGCAGCCGAGGGGGTGTGTTAAAGTACACTCATGCACTTCTAGGTGTACATTTAATAGGCTAGGTACGATAGGTTAGTGCTGTACAAGGCCTGAGTGTTCCGCTTATACGTTTTACGGGACTCTCTTAGCAAATGGTCATGTATAAAATGAATCAAAAGTTGGTCAAATTAGAAAGTACTCCATTTAGGCATTCGTAATGGAACAAATGGTGGAGTATCAAATCGTCATATTCCACTCCAAATCCGTCCTAAAGCCTCTGTATTCGCGGGACCCTCCGGGTTGCAGCTATTAGGGACATGGACAGCGCCCATACGAAATGAGAAGAATGCTGCTGTGTGAGAAAATCCAGACTTGGATAGAATGAGAGTATCGGAAGCTGCCAGAAGGAGCCACTCTGTGATTATGTCACTATATACTGATTCTCCTTTACTGTGACTAGCTTGCGTAGAAGAGGGTGGTGATGGTGAGTCAGCAGCATTGGACACAAGGTTGTTAACATGCATCGGGATGATGTCTGATATTACCACCTGTTATACGAATGAGGGCAAGAAACGATGGGAATAGGGTAGTGAGTGTCGCTTTCAGAAGATGGCATGATGGAGGGGTATGTGTGAGAGGAGAAAGCAGGTGGGGATGATGATATTGGCGAGTCACTAGTATGTGGCAGGGGGGCTGAAGGTCTGTGAAGGGTGCATGGTTATCGAGAGTAGCTGTGTGTCTGTAAAAGGGGGATGTAGGAAAGGTTGGAGGTTGTGTATAGAGTCTGTGTATGTATGTGTATGACTGAAAGCATGTGTGTGTGTGTGTGTTGGGGGGAGTGTTTTGGTGTGCGTGTGTTTCCGTGTGCGTCTGTGACTGTGAACACACTCTTTCATCGCCTCGGGAAGGAAGCACAGACACACACACACACACACACACACACACACACACACACACACACACACACACACACACACACACACACACACCTTGTCTGGGTACTTGAGACGCAAAGCTGTCTTGAGATCCTGAGAGCTGCTGATGACAAGCCATTTAACGATGATGGGAGGAGGCATCCACCAGGCCTCGAGCATCTAACAGGGAAACAAGGCACAGGAAACGGATAGGCACGGGTGCTTGGAATCAGAGGCACAGGAAATGGATATGCATGGGAATCTGAACTCATGCAGCAAGCCAGTGCGAAGCAGAATGGGCATGAAAATGAAAACTAGTGGGGGGGGGGGGAGAGGGGGAGGAAACACGACACGCAACAAGGCAAAAAAGTGGGAAGGGGGTGGACATGGGCAGGTGCAATAACGTGCCTCGCCCTAGTCATGCCATTGTACAACTATAAACTTTCTTTCTGTGAATAACAGACCCTAATGCTACCCGCACCCACCTACCTTGCCGGCTATTCAAACAGTGACACCCCCTATATCATCTTCCCGATATTCACCTGGGCACAATCGATGTATTCCTGAGCCCACGCCATGAGGTCAGCCCTCTCCGTGTCGTTCAGAACCTTGGGATCTCCAAACCCGCTCCTTCCCTTCCACACGAACCTGTCAGGTACTCTCATGTGCAGCCCCACCACCACCACCCTTCTGCTCGACGCAGCATGGGAGGCTGATGATTGGCCGTTGCTCAGGTGATGTGCGGAGTGTGTTTGGAGGAGGGCAGGGGGAGTGGAGGAAGAAGCGAGATGGGAGAACAAATGGTGGTACACGGCTTCGGCTTTTGCCAGGATCTCTGGCCGTGGCCTGGTGAGGGTGGAAGGGGGAAGGGGGGCATAGGCTTAGTAGGAGGGCAAGAGAGGGGGTTACTCAAAGACGGGAACTTAGACAAGGTTGTGAGAACCTGATGAGGTTGTCACAGCATGGGAGGCTGATGAGTGGCTTGGGTTGCAGTGGTAGGGGGCTGCATCGAGAAACGAGAGGCCCAGGGGCAAAGGAGAGCGAGCCGGGAAGCGGGATGGGCTTTCAAGGCAAGGGCATGAGTTGTCTCAAAGCCTTGGAATTGACGTAGTACATTGCTTACAATCAACACCCTTTGAGGGGGAACAAGGAGTACAGTGAACGCATGACGGATGCACAGTGGTGATATTTAAGACGCCTTGATAAAACTTCCTTAATTGCGCTAATGGAGTCATGCTAAACGTGTAAGAACTTGAGCTACGATAAAATGATAATGGGTTGGAACGGATGAGTTGGGAATGTGATGCAATCCCACATGAGATTGGCTAGAATCTCCTATTGGGGGGTTGGATATTTTAGTTGATGACGTTCGGATAGGGTTGGGATATGGTGGTGTAACACCCAGCTTACGAAATATAAAACCTCATTAAACTAGGATATATAGTACAGCTACAATATATGTGATTCAATCTCATACATAACAATATGTTTATATACTCCATGGGAACGTACTTGAGAAGAAAGCGGAGGATGCAGCCAAAGCTGTAGGGAGGACGCACGCCCATGTCCCTCAGCCTCTCACTCCACTTGTAGCCCACTTTCTGCACCAACCCAGATTAAGCAGGCAGCACACGAGCATGATAAGAAGGGGGGAAGGGAAGCGGTGGAGAAAGAATGCTCTACTTTGTGCTTCACTCATCCGTGGGCGTCTTTTGAGTAGGCTCAGAAGCAATCAGGAAGCGGCAAAGAAAAGAATGTTCCTTGTGCTTCACTCGTCCGGGGGCGTCTGCATACCCATGCTTCTAAAGCTGAGCGACCTCTACCTATGATTTGTGTTTTCTTTCCTTTTCCTTTTCCCCTGTCCTCTCCACTTGCAATTCTCTTTGTTGGATCTTACCCACTCCTGATCTTCTCTCTGCATCTCCTAACTTCTCCTCCTACCACTCCATACAGCCCTCTCATCTTCCCTCCTCTTCCCTCCTTCTCACCTTCTCTTCCTCCAATCTACTTCCGAGCTGAATAACATATCCGTCCCACTAGATAACAGCACCAATGCACCCACCCACCTGCACGAGCCAGTAGGTAAGCAGCCCTCTGTTCCATGTCAGGCGCACGTTCATCGCCTTGTCCAGCTGTGAGAAGAACTCATCAGCATCCACAAACCGATTCCTCAGGTCCAAAACAACAACCTCCCCATCCTGTACCACCTCCCCTCCCCCTCCCCCTCCTTCTTCTCCTCCTCCTCCGCCTCCTCCTCCGCCTCCTCCTCCTCCTCGTCCTCCTCCTCCTCCCCCTCCTCCACCTTCCTCGCCCTGCCCCACCATCACCTGCTCAACAGTCATCACCCGTGCCGGCTCCACAGGAATCTCCGATGAGAAGGACCAATCAACGAGGTTCAGCTCGAACGCAAGTGGCAGGAGGGAGTGCCGTACAATAAACGCCCGGTTTGTGAGCATGGCGCATGCGAACGAGGTTGCTAGCCCTGTCAGGTAGTCCCCTAAACCTCCTGGCGAGTCGAGCCATTCGTATGTGAGAAAGCGGATTGATGGGTCCCTGGGCGGCTGGGGGTACGCGGCAGGGGGTGGTGGGGATGGTGGCGGCGGGGATAGAGGAGGGGGAGATGGTGGAGGGGGGGGCGGAGGAGGGGGGGATGGAGGAAGGGGGGACGGAGGAGGGGGGGATGGAGCAGTGGGAGGTAGGGGAGGAAGAGGAGAGAGTAGGGGACGTGGTGGGGGGGGTGCGGGTGGTGATGGTGGTGGTGGTGATGGTGGTGGTGGTGACGGTGCTGGGGGTGAGGGTGGTGGTGGCGACGGTGGTGGCAGCGGCGGCAGTGGTAGTGCGGCAGCAGCAGCGGCAGCAGCAGCTACAGCAGCAGCAGCAGCAGTCTGAGCGAGGGTGCTGGCGTGGGCGCGGGCAGCTTCGCGAATGCGGGAGTGCAGGGTGGAATAGTCAGCCGCCCAGGTGCCACACTGCGCCTCCGAGAACGTGAAATCCAGAAACGGCCTGGGAGGGGACGCTGAAGCGCGCAACGGGGAGAGTAGCTGTTGCCAGGGGGGAGGGGGAAAAGGGGGAAGAGGTAGAACAGGGAAAGGGGAGAAGAAGAAGGGGTAGAATGGAATGTTTAGGTTGGGGGTCTTGTTAATCGTAAGTGCATGGGAGTGAGCATGGGAGGGTGGGAGTGAGCATGTCGCCAGTCTGTCGCCATGCTCCCTGCGAATCTGGCGACAAGCAGTGTGCGGCATGGTTGGCGGAATATAAGACCGCCTTAGATTCGGTGAGCGGCGTATGGTTGGGTGAAGTGAGCGAGCACGAGCGGTTTGGAAGAACTTCTTCCAAACGAATGAGGCTCAAGAGCAGGAGGCCCAAGGATGGTAATGGATCAGATCCCACCATTGATTCCGCAATGCATTTCAGATCAGCCCAGAAACATGTCATGATGGTGCGCGTGGTTACAAACTTTTATTTATGGACTCTCTAGACCAGAAATCACTTGGAAGTTCGGAGCTTCAGATCCAAAGCGTTAACGGGAAGCAGCGAATGGATAGGACTCGCAGGAAGTCGAGAGGAAGCACGGACATTCTCAGCACTGACGAGCCGTGAAAGTCTTTACGGCGTCCAGCGGAGAAGAAGAAGAGGAGAAAAAGCTTGATCAAACGCGGAAACCACCTCCGAGGTAGGAAGGCGGCTGCGCTCACCTAGCACTCACAAGTAGGAAAGCGATGGCGAGCACGCGGCTATAGTAGACCACATACTGCCGGTTATGTCGCCTTGACGTCATTGGGACGCCTTGGAAGTCTCACGCCAAGTCACATACTAGTATTTGCACCAGGTGGTTGTTTCGCATCCCAAGAAGTTACTATATATGACGTGACGTTGACTGAGTGCTCCCCGTTCAACGTCCTGAACTGGGTACAACTTCCGCATAACGTGTGACGATGACAGGTTCTCAGTAGTTCCTGGAGTTAGGCTCCCAATAACCAATGGCGGTGGTTTGTAAGGCGCACTTTCATTTTCATGGTAAGAATGGGGCCGGCAAAACACCGCCAAATGTGTGAGCTTGCCAAAACACCGGCAAAGCTAGCCTACTACACACAAATTTGTCACCACGACATCGCATCTGCTGGTAACTTCTCTTATTCGCGCGAAATCACGATTGGTGCACGCTCCATCGTTACGACCTGTACGACTCACTCTACCGTCGCCTGTTACCCTCACAACTCTCTTGGAAGAAGCCAGCGGACTTCGGATTTCCCACCCTAAGCCGCCGGCCGAGACGGCGCGAGGAGCACCAGCTTCTCCTTGTTTTACTCTCTACATAAAGAGAGTACATATTGTCATGTTAATCCTATCGTGTGTCCATATTTGAAGATCAACTATATTATGCTATCTTAAGATGTGCAGCCATACTATGGCTTCTAGCCTTTTTTTTTTGGGTGTACCAGCAATGGCCAGCACGAGACATTGAAACATAGACCATAACTACCCCCTAAACAGCCCGAATTGACGACGACACACAGCAACAACCCAATACCCTGCCCTAAGGATGCTGAGGGAACCCACGTTCCTTTCCACCCTCCCCACCAATCCCAACCCCCTAACCCCCTCCCTTTCCCCCTCCTGTACCACTTCACAACCGTGCATCCGAAAAATACGGGGCCTCCACCCAGAGAGCTCCCCCCTCATCCACCCTGTCCTCCCTCTCCCTATCTACCAAGTCAACGTCCACCCCGCCCATGGACGACGCAGCCCTCAACAAAATAACGTGAGCCTGTGCCCGTTGCAATACCAGCCCAATAAGCGTCTTCAAAGACCCCAAGAGATATGACGAGAATGACGTGTCATCTTCCCGACAGGCCCCTTGCGACACAGCTAACCGTAAGTGAGTGTCCCTCTGCTGACTCAACTGCTGATATAAGCAAAGGATCCAGTAGATAGGATAGGATCTGTTAAGTCTGAGAGGAGACAATGAAGTCTCTGTAATGACCTTGTTGAATAATAATTTATAGATAACAAGATGATTAAAAGATAGGAGTACAAGAGGTTAAATAGAAATCTAGCTAGCCATGAACTGTGAAGGGTACATTCCCTTATTCATTGTATTGCATAGCTACAGTAACTGCGAATATTGCTATGCTCGACAGTTACCATGTTGCAGTGAATTAATGTCAGAATCTAAACCACTAGACCATTAGGATAAAATGACTTGTTAAGTAGCGGGTCAGTGCGCCCATAACCCCCCAAGACAACGAGCCTGTAACCCTTCCCTAGGATCAATCGGGGATCACCAGTGGACCTCTGACACCCCCTCGCACTGGGACGCCCAAAGTGCACTGACTGGGATTCGAACCCAAGACCTTTCCTCTGATACCATGTCAGAATCCCAACCACTAGACCTTTGGGATAAAAGCACTTGTTAAGTAGCGGGTCAGTGCGCCCATAACCCCCCAGGACAACAAGCCTGTAACCCTTCCCTAGGATCAATCGGGGATCACTAGTGGACCTCTGAAAATTAACTGCCGCGCGATTACTGGATCGTCAAGGGTCACGACAGTTGACTTCCTCAAACGGTTGACCTTCGGGTGACCCTCGACATTCCGCATGCTCTATTTGAGCTATTGCGGCACTGGTACAGTGGAGCAGCTTCGGGAATGCTTTATATAACCTTTCGGTTATTCCAACATCAACCAACGTCTGAAACGTCCACCCAAGCACCCCCACGTCTCAACAATCAAAGGTGTGAACTGCACCCCCCGATTGCTCGCTAGCAACGGCGCGTAATCGTTCGCCTTCCGTCGCTCCCACTCCTTGACCGCCACGCCCATAGACCGCCCGCACTGTCCGACCAAAGATGGAGAGAGCGACAAGGGGTATGCAACACTGATCTCCAAGGCGTGCGCTTCTCCGTCCATCGGTCGACGCACTGCAACATCCACACGCTTTCATGGCAACAACGTGTCATCCTCTATCGTCACCACCCCCCCGGATGCCTTGGAAATCTCCGCCACCGCAAACTTTACCCAATCATGCATCCGAGAGGGACCGTGCTGGTGCTTGCATCGCAGTGCATGGTGCGGGTCCGCCGGGTCTGCGTACACCGAACCGCATACACAACGCCCTACCACGTGCAGCTGCTGGATCGCAAGGCCCAGACGCACAGCTGCAGCAATGCTCCACTCAGCAGCTGTGAAGGTGAAATCCGCATGAGCTGGGATAGCCGAGACCCATGCACCAGCCCTCGGGCCCTGAAGGGATGTGAAACGGGCCAGGTCGGCATCGTCACGGGCCAATCGGCGCACAGCATGAAGTTCATCCACAGCCAACTGCCGCAGCTGCGCCTGGAATAGACGAACGGGGGGGGGGGGGGGTGGTGGGGGGGGGGGGGGGCAGCGACGCAGATAGGCAAGCTCGGCATCTCCCGACGTACAGCCTCTGGCAGCTGGTCGAGGCTCTTGGAGAACCAGCCTTTTCCTGTTGTATATATGTTTATCATATTGTTCTAACCTTACTGATCTCTATAAGGGTGTGAATTTGTTCTTTTTTTCCAGAAGGTCCGGGCATTGATAGTACATGTTATTACCCGTAATTAATGTACATGCTAGTTGAAATCTATCATACGTCGCAGAACTATGGCAGTCCTTTTGTTTGTTTTTTAAGACTTTCCCATGCATACATGCTTATGGGAGATCTTCTATTGCCCTTCCATTGTGCTTTATGTGAAACGGGAAAATACTAGTTTTGTAATGAAGCAGCTTGCTTTTGGATATTGGCGATTCTTCACACGCACCTTCGCCACGTCATGCCCAAGATTTTTCGAGGACATGAAGTCATGACATGACTCATAACCCTTGGTCTTGTTCAGCGGGCATTGGTCCTTTCATTAGCAGCTTTTGCTGTGTCTGCCACGTCAACTTGCGTGGGTGTACCAATCTCACCATCCGAGTTACATCCGCTCCGATTTTTATGTCAGGTCAAGTACAGCAATGTCTGTGATATTGCACGACGCCGGAGGTACTCTGAAATGAAATTGTCTGCATAATTTTCGTACCATAGGGTACTCTTCTTTAGCAAATCACATCCCAAGGGTTCGACCACGACAGTCTATGCTGACCCAATTGATACTCTGGTCTGTTGCCCAGTCTTCGTCCTAACCAGAATCGTCAGATAATTAATTTTTGGGCGAAACTATTTCTTGAAAACAGACTCGACGGGCTAAGTAATCTATCAAGTGAAAATAACAGTTAAAACTTTGAGAATTCGGTGTATGCTGTTTGACTTCCAGTACAGTCGATGCTCACCTTATGCTGTGTCCAAAGGTGCCCAGATCAAAAATACAGTCACTCGCGAACGTTTTTGCCCGTGAGTGACTGAATCGAGCATTGGGGTAGAGTCACCAAGCTGCAGAAGATCGACGTCAACAGTTCAGAAACAACAGAGGCTGCCAGTCGCATACGTCATCGCATACATCATCTTTTCAGGGCTGACCGAGTTACAGCGACTTGACGAAGGTCCCACTTTTACTTTACAGTCCCATTTTTGCCCGTGGCGACGTGGCGAAGATCGACGAAATGCTCGCTGCCCGTTTCAGTTCATTGCCGCCTGCCTACCTGGTGTTCTTGAAATGAGCACCGACTGTATAGACCTCCCACATATAGCCTTGTTTTTCAGGCACCCCGCGTCCTTCTGTAGCCTCACCCACACCAGTTGAGGACATAGGATTTTTTTTTTTTTTTTTTTTTCCGACTGTACACCATATGTCTGTTAGATATTCATAAATCGTCTCGTAATTTGAGTGTTTAGTGAGTAACAAGGATTTCGCCTGCTCGCCAGCGTTCGCCACGAGCAATAGTGGGACTGTAGTGGGCAGGTGAAGAAATGTAACCAGCTTCTTCAAAATATCTCACGAACGGACGGATGCCAGCGTGATAAGCTGTATGTTGAACGGCTGCGATCAAAATATGGGCTTGTATCGTGCGTGTAGCTGGCTAGTACTAAGTGCAATTGGGCAGGCTGTCAAAATCGGGCAGACCAAATTTGCGTGCAACAGGTGAGCCATCCTGTGTATTTCCGTTTCTATTTTCACTGATGTCGTGTTGTATTTTGGATGGACAGAGATGGACAGAAACGTTTTTACACACAAATATAGCATACAGTGTTGTTCCGACCAATGTTTGGTGGAATGTTTGAGTACAACATTTTGGTTTTCGGAATGCTTGTGTAGGACACTCTGCCCATAAGAAGGCCAATCACCGATTCACGTGCGCCGCGTCTGTTTTCTCCTCGCGCGCCCCAGCCCTCCTGAGTCAGCCTGTTGCTCTGACAACATTGCGGACCTGTGTCGAGCTGGCGAAACCAAGCTGAATGCAATGCCCCACTCCCCTACTCATGCTTGAAATTCCATCCAGCATTGACAGCATCTGGCAACAGGTACCCCCGCTGTCTTCCCACGAAAAGTTGCCCCAGGACCAAGTCCTTGGTGGTTTCAAACGGCCTATCCTTGGTGGTTCTTAGCGCCGCGCCGCGACGTTTTTCACTAATCCGTTCAATTTCGTCAGCGAAGATAAATTTCGAGCAAGTTCATCTTTGAGGTGCATCAATGTTCATGTCTCTAGAGCTACCACGGTACGAATATGAGAAATCCTTTCACTCCCAACATGAGACATCCCTTCAGTCCCGTCATTCCGCCAGGCGCCCGCAAGGCTACCACTTCCACACCACGTAGAAGGCCGCACCAAGTTGAGGATGAGATAAACCGCATGGATGCAACGTCCACTGTTGTGCTGCTTCCGGATGGCTCTGTGCGACTCTACGACGCTCCCATCCTTGTCGCCGGCGACGTTCTACAAGAGTTTCCGCACCACAATATCTTCTGCTCGTCGCCAAGCGGAGGATTCGCGCCGCTCCATCCCCAATGTCGCTTGACCTCCGGGGAGACGTATCACCTCATGCAACGCCATAATCATATCGGCGCAACGACGGCGACGCACAAAAAAGACGAGAGCGACGCGGGTTCTTCGTGTTTCTTGATGTCATCCTCTCCGCCTCCTCGTCCTCCCCCAGTACCTCAACTCGTCGCTCGGAATGGGAGTCACCATCACGCCCACGACCACCCCGCGAGGTTCTGTGCGACCTCACCGCGAGTGTCGCTTGTCAAGTCGCAAGATGGCGGGACGTCGCTGAGCGACTCAGTGCGCGTGGGGTCGCCGAGGGATTATCTGCGCCAACCGTTTGATTCGGATGCGTATACCCCAAGCCTGAGCCCCAATGATAGTGTTACTACGTCGCCTACGCCCATCTCTGATGAAAGAAACCTCGATTTATGGCATCCTCGTTATGGCGTCCAAGATCGGCGTCACGGCGATTTTCGCCATCACGGAATGGCCCGAACCAAGTCCATGTCACCCCAAACCCGGATGGGTTCGCCCCCAACCCCCTGCCGAACGCCAGGCTCTGGAGCGGCCATTCGAACCTTAGGTTCGGGCTCCTGGATCCAGCATCATCTTGAACCGGACTCGAGTAGCTCTTCGGCGGAATCTGTTTCACAAAGTGTTGATCCGGGCAGCACCGTTTGCAGTGTGACCAGGGAGCAGCAAGCTCACTTGGAAGGAGCCGGAGGCTGCCGTAGTAGTGGTCGGTCAATGAGACAGATGCGGCAAGACGCGCTGAACATTGAGTCTGCCGTGGCACGCCTGGGGAGCTTGCGGGACCTTGACGTGGAGGCTTTCTGGGAAAGTGGGATGGAAACGGAACAAATGGAGGAGAGCAATGCAAGGGAACTGATGGAGTGACTAAATAAAGGGAACAGGGGCACGAGGACAGTATTCCACGGGCAGTGCAATAAGTGGCGGATCTTGAATGTGTCCGCCAAAATCTGTTTTCGGGATCCTCCTTGCCATCATTGCTAGTGTTGTTGATTTGGATGTGCGAAGGTGGTCGGCAGTGACGTGCTGCTGAGGGCCGTTGAGCACAGTTGAGAGGGTGATCATGCTCACTCTTTCAACACAGCAAGACTCGGCCTTGTACGGTGTAAAGCAACATCGCACTGGCTTAGTGCGGCGAAGCTGTTGTCTATCCGTGGATTTCACCTGTACATGCCTGTGATTATCGTTTCCATGTGGTGTGTATGTAGGCCCATGTCAGAGTCTATATTACGAGAACGGTGTGTTTATGATCGGACTTTTGAGTTGGAAGCGTATTATGAGAAGGTTTTGAAGGTTGTAATTTGGAAGGGTGGAGGAGAGGAAGAGTGTGTGGAAAGAAAAAGGGAGGAATGGAGCAAGGGGAGGATGTGAGGTGCTAGGATGGATTGTTGGAGCAAGGAGCAAGGGTGGTAGGGAGGGAGGAGAGCAAAGGTGCAGAAACAACTTGGGGATGAGATGAGATGAAGGGAGGTGGGGACTACCCGACGAATGGAGCGATGGATGGATGAAAGAAAGGGATGAAGAAAAGAAGAGTTGGGGAGAAACAGGGAGGGGAGGGGAAGGGAGAAAGAGGGGAGGAGGAGCTGAATAGCACCCATAACATTATGGATTATATGCATTTTCTTAGTTCCTAGTTTTTTCTGAGCTCCTGGCGGAAACGGAAAACGGGATGAGGGCGACCAAAACCGCTTGCTTGTGGCTCGCGGATGGAGTGATGTGGTGCTGCTGTCTGATTCGTCCTTGCCGTGTTCCATCATCGAATTGTCATAATTTCGTTAATAGTTTCTCCGATATAAATCTCAGGCCAGGAGACCCTTCTTGCTAGCTTGGAGTTCGTGATTCTAAACTAAGATGCAATTGAAGGTGCACACATCCCCCAACAACCCCGCTCCCTACGCAGCTTCTACGCATTTATCCATCCTCTCCTCAGCCTTCTCCCCTTCCTCCAAGCCAAGCCTATCAACGTTCATAATGGTCTGATCAACCCGGCTATGTTCGGATTTTCCGGTGCTTCGCCTCGCGATGGTTTAATTGGCGTCTGAGTGCGATAATATTATGGGGAATTACCCGTTGGGGTCACGTGTTACTGGCCCGAATGGGGACTAGGCACTGGTAGATCAGACTGACTTGGAGCTGAGCCAATCGCCATTTCTCGGTACCACCTATTTTTGTTCTAGTGTTAAGTTTCTCTTCGACCTCCGCTTTTTTCGGGTCCGTTACGAGAAGATAATGTGCTCTACTTAACCACTCAGAATTACCCAGCATTCGCTATAAGCTCCGTCCACACCATTGGTCAGAGTCATGGCACGGCGATCAGAGAGTTCCGCGATTCGCGCGATCCCCTTCTTAATTCTTTGCCTTATCTTCGAGGTGCCGGCACGTTGCGCGTCGGAACCGATTGATCCAAGCAGCCACTCCGTTGGAGGAGAGTCCGGCTTCGAGCACGTCATGTCACTATATCGAGTCAGTGCCAACCCTCGTCACTGTATCGAGTAGATTTCACCTCTCGTCAGTCAATTAGCTGCGCCGTTTTCTTCATCCAGCGTCTTCGCGAAAATTTCCCTGTTACTCTATCTGCGCTACTCGATCGTGCGATCCCCTGCTATTTCCGCTGTCTGCTCTGTCTGCGCCATTTGCGCTACTTGCGTTGCGATAATTGCTTGGAGCCCATTGCAGAAAATCTGGAGTTCGGTGTCTGTTCCCGGTGTTACTGCGTAACTGGTCTAAGATTGCGGATATCTCTCTAGCCTGATTCAACTTACGGAGTTTCGACTTCGCTCATTCTACTCGCAGTCTCACTCCATCCTCTCTCACTCACCCTCTCCACGTTTTACTCTCCCTCTCCATCCTCACCCCATCCCTCCACCTCGTCTCAACCCCCCCTCCATTCCCGCCCACTTCTTTTTTCCTCTCCCCGCAACTCTCCCTTCCTCCTCTTCTTTCCTCCTGTCCTATCCTTTCCTCCTCTCCTCCTCTCCGTTCCTCCTCTCTTCAACCAGGTATGGGAGTCGATCTACGGCTTGCACGAGGACAACCAACTTCCCCCCGCCAACATCTCCCTTCCGCCCAACGTGCCCCCCGCGCCGCATCTCGAGGACTGCGCGGCGCGCACGGCGTTCCGCCTGGCGGCGGAGCAGCGCGGGGCGAACGGGGAGCCGCCGGAATGGGCGCGCCCGCCCAAGTGCTGCGGATGCAACCCGCAACCCCCGTGGGTGAGACTGAACCGCGGGTGTGACGGGCGCGGGTGAGATGTGAGCGCGAGTGCGGAAGGAGCATGAGCGGGCAAGCAGTGGGGAGGGGTGCAAGCAGCGGGGGGGGGGGGGGGGGGGGGGGGGGCAAGCAGTGGGGAGGGGCGCAAGCACCTGTTTCCCGCTCCTTGACATTTACTGCCCATCACATCACAGCGTCTCGCTCTTCTCATCTACCGCGTCTACCGCCCCCGTCCACTCCGACAGCCAGCCCTCACCCACCCCTCAACCAACCCTCACCCACCCTCTCGCCCTCCCCCTCTTTGTTTCGCCACTTGGCGTCCTGCTCCTCTTGTCAGACGTCGCTTCTCTCTTTACAGTGTCATGTTGTTTGTTGAAAGAGCTTCATCATGCACTACACACTCTGTGATTTGCCTTGCTTGCTGTGCTTGCTCTCCCAAAACAGCTCATCTCATCTCCTCCCAAACTGCGTCGTTCTGATACAATTGCTCCCTCTCATCCTTCTCCGCATTAAAACGCTTCCAGCAAAGTCAACCTCCACTCTGTACACACCTACTCTGCTTTCTTCTAATTCCTGTAGCCACATCGCAGCATTGGTGGGGCAATTCACGTGCCACCCCATCACCTCTCTCCCCTCCTTTTCTCCCTCCTCCCACCCCTTCCTCCCCTTCCCTCCCCCTCCCCTTCCGCGTCCTCCTCTCCTCCCCCTCCCCTTCCCCCTCTTTCCCCCCGTTCCATTCCCCCTCCACCCCCTACTCTCCCTCCCGCGCCCGAACCACCCCCATACCTTCCAAACCTACCAGGTGCGGGGAGCGGACGATGAGAACCTAGCGATGACGCGGCGGGTGCAGAAGGAGATATGGGAGAACCAGTTTCCAGCGGAGCGCAAGTGCGCGGGCAGGAAGCTGCTGGTGGTGCAGTGGGCGCCGCAGAACCACCACGGCGTGGGGTCGCAGGTGCATGTGATGGGCGCGTTCCTGAGCATCGCCATGCAGTTCAACCGCACGCTCGTCGCCATCCCGGGCTCGTATGGCCGCGCGGAGGAGGCTGGCTGTAAAGGTGAGAAGGACGGAGGGAGGATGGGAGGATGGGAGGGGGGGGGAGGCGGGAGCGGCTGCGTGTGGGTGGTTGGGAGAGTGAGGGGGTGGTGGTGGGGGGAAGCTGTGAAAGGGGGGGCGATGAAAGGGAGGAATGGGTGTGGTGGTTGTTGTGAGTACTGTCATGGCATGAACGGGAGGGAGGCGTATGAGGGGTTGAAAGAGGCTGGGTGTTAAGGTGAGGAGGGAGGGACTGACTGACTGAGTAAGACTGGCTGATCAATTGACTGACTGACTGATTGGCTGACTGACCTAAGTTGGAACTTACGTTTTCGGTTCCTTACGTTTTCGGACGATTACGACAATTTTTACGTTTACGAACGGTCGCCCAGATTCGGCCTTACGTTTACGGTCACCTAAAAACTTTTCTGAGCTGCCCGAGGGAAAAAAACGACCAGAGCATCAAGAAGATTCTCTCCAACCTAGTTCCGTAATTTGATATCTTGTCGACGTCAACCTAGCAGCTCGTTCGCAACCTATCGTGTTTCTCTCTTACTAACCTGGTCAACGCTGAATTTGAAACTTTCACGGCCTTGAAAGGCGCTCCATACGTAGTAAAGTCGCTATTCTAGAAAGGCACATGACAAATTAGTGGTACGATCTGGTACCCGTACACAATCCAATAAAAAGTATCACATTAGTTTTTTTTTCCTGCTCGCCTCATACTTACGTGTAATTTTACGCTTTCGTTTACGTTTACGCTAAATTTTGCGAAATTTACGTTTACGAGACCTCAAAAAACGTAAGAGACCAACTTAGTGACTGACTGACTGGCTGACTGGCTGACTGACTGACTGACTGGCTGACTGACTGGCTGATTGACTGGCTGACTGACTGACTGGCTGACTGACTGGCTGACTGACTGACTGGCTGACTGACTGGCTGACTGACTGGCTGACTGACTGACTTGCTGACTGACTGACTTGCTGACTGACTGTCTGACACTGACAGGTTACCTTGACTGACTGACTGAGTGACTGGCTGACTCACTCACTCTCTCAAATGCCCTCTCATGCCACCCTCTCCACTCTCCCTGTCTTGCCCATGTGTGTTCATGCGTGACTTGCCCTCCACCCAACGTGCACAACATATCAAACCCCTCCCCCCATACCCTCCCCCCACACCCTCTCCTGCGCGCCCATGCATGCGCGTGCATACGTCACATCGTCCTCTGCAGCTATACGGCTGCACGCAACTCTAGCAACATCGCAAAAACACTCCCATACCTTCCCCACACTCCCTTCCCCCCCTTTTCCACCAGCCCATGCATAGACATGAGCAAATGGCGAACACGAACGTGTTTGCCATGACATGAACCTCAACGAACACCACAGGTTGGCGAACCGAACCCGTTTGGTTTGCCACGAACCAAATTCCTGAAATAGGCGTTCGCGTGTTCGTGGTCCCAGGCGAACACTTACGGTTTGCCACGAACCTCTTTAGACGTTTGAGGCGAACTCGAACCTGTTCGGGTTTGGGTGCCATCCTAAACCGCCGAAACGAGGGCGAAACGAAATTAAACTCCCTAATGGCTTAGAGTAGGCACTATTTAAGGATAGTATAGTGGCTGTTCGCCAAAATCGAACCATCTCACTTAAAAACGCCTGAAAAATGTCGACCAGAAACGCATTTCCTTGGTAACTAACTACCCTAAACTGAAATGCTCTAATTCATGTGTTTCTAGGGCGGCTGTGTGTAGGGAGGGAATAACAATATTGGATCTGCTCATTTAAGCTCGATTTGAGCTCAAATGATGAGTTGGTTCACTACATACCCGTAGGGTTTGCAGCAAACCTGTTTTAAGGGGGAACGCGTTTGCGTTCACCCCATGTCCCACACACGCCCCGAACATCACGAACGCCCCGAACATCACGAACGCCCCAAACATCACGAACGCCCCGAACAGCACGAACGCCCCGAACATCACGAACGCCCCGAACATCACGAGCGCGCTTGTGACGAACTGGGGGTGTTTGTCATGAATGTTTTTGGGGAAAAATAACCCCCCGTTCGGTTTGTCACGAACGCGTTTGTGACGAACCGAACAGGGGTTCGCGAATTTTCTCAAGCCTACCCATGCATGCATCACCTCGGCTCGGCCTGTGCAGTCGCAGGGCAGTACGGCGAGTGGGAGTGCTTCTTTTTCTCATTCGCGGACCCCGCGTGCCAGCAGATCGCGCGCGGCACGAAGGATAGCAAGGCGCTCCAGTGCAATTTGATGCCTGAGAATCTTTAATAGCCAACTCGCCCTGCCCCTCTCCTCCCCCCCCCCCTCCCCCACATCCCCCGCCCATGCATTCACATACCCGCATCATCTCGTGAGCAGCTGCGGGGCAGTACGGCGAGTGGGAGTGCTTCTTCTTCTCCTTCGCGGACCCCGCGTGCCAGCAGATCGTGCGCGAGATGAAGGACAGCAAGGCGCTCCAGTGCTCGCAGTCCTTTGCCTCACAGGTGGCGGGGTCGTCAGACGTGGTCGCCTGCCTGGATTACATGCCGTATGGGGATCTCGAGATGAAGGCCAATATCACATGGTGGGTTCATGAGTCGACTCAAATTTGTTGACTCAAATCAAAAGTCAATATCACATGGTGGGTTCATGAGTCGACTCAAATTTGTTGACTCAAATCAAAAGTCAATATCACATGGTGGGTTCATGAGTCGACTCAAATTTGTTGACTCAAATCAAAAGTCAATATCACATGGTGGGTTCATGAGTCGGCTCGAAGTTCCCCTCGGCTTGGTCGCCACACGTGGTTCCCTTGCGTGCCTGGATTACATGCCTTATGATGACCTCGAGATGAAGGCCACTATCACATGGTGGGATCAGGTTGAGCTTGGTTGGGGTATTTGGAGTGGGTTGGGCTGGGTTGGATTGGGTTGGGTTGGGTTGGGTTGGGGTGGGTTACGCAGGGCTGTTATGAACTGGGCTGGGCCTCTCCCCTCTCCCCTCTCGCCTCTCCGCTCCCCCCTTTCCCGTTCCCCGTTCCCCGCTTCGCTTCCCCACTCTCCTCTCCATTTTCGCTTTTCCCTTTTCCCTTCTCCCTTTCTCGTGACTCCCGATCCCCTCTCCCCTCTTCTTTCCCCCCTCCCTTCTCCCTTCGCCTCTCCCCCTAATTCGCTCTTCCCTCCATTCTCCCCCTCTCTCCTCTCCCATCCATCCCTCTCCTCTCCCCCTTTCCTCTTGCTCCTCCCCCGCTGCCCACGCATTGATTTCTTGGCGTGGCAGGCGATGGGGAGGGGCGCAATGGCAACAGCCGGACACGGTGTGGCATGTCCCGGGCACAGAGTCGCACAAGGCACACACAATGCAGGTACGCAGTTTTGAAAAGTACCAGCATTGACTTTTGAGTCGACTCATAAGTCACCTCATGGCAACAGCCAGACACGGTGTGGCATGTTCCAGGCACAGAGTCGCACAAGGCTCACACAATGCAGGTACGCACTTCCGAAAAGTCCCAAAATGCAGGTGCCCTTGGCATGTGTTTCAACTGCGAGTTTCGGGACGTCTCAAAGCACCTGCAACAGCCGGGCTCTGTGTGGCATGGCATGGCATGTCCACTCCTTAGCATAGAGTGGCAGAAGGGACCCGCACTGCAGGTGTGTATGCAGTGGCATGTGGTGGTGTGATGCTGTGTGGGTGCTGGCATACTGTCATGGTGCATGTGGTGTGGGCAGTGAGAGACTGGATGGCTGGCTGCAGCACAGGTCAACTAGTCGTACAAGCACAAGGTAAACCTCGGAGTTCACTGTGCGTGAATCTCCCTTGGAACAGCACCCTGTCCCCTGCAAGCACGTCTCATAACCACATCCTCGTTTAGCGGCTCCTCACAGTGAAAAGCCAGCAACCAGGCTGGATGGTTGGTTGGGCGGATGGGGTCAGTACAGCGTGAAGGAGGGAGGGAGAAGCTGAGCTCATTCCTGTTGCTGGTTATACCCCCGGTTTCCCCCTTCTCGTCTCTCACACGTGCTCTGCATCCCAGGTGGCAAGCCCAAACCATGCACTGTGACCTCAGAGAGTCATGCCGAATCCATTCCCCTTCTTCCTCTAGGGCCTTCCCTCCTCTCATCTGCTTTGCATCCCCCCCCTCCTCTCTCCTCTCCCACCCCCTTCCTGCTTAAGGTCCACTGGTGGCGAGCGCAGGCCACGCGCTTCATGCTGCGCTGGCCCTCGGCGTACCTCTGCCACGTGACCAACCGCGTGCGCCACTCCTCCTACGGCCACCGCGTGGCGGCCCGCCTCGCCCGCTTCGATGTCACACGGGCAGAGATCCTCCGGGAACTCGCAGGGGACACGGCCGGCGATGCAGCCCGCAGCAACATCAAACTGTCCCCGCAGGCCACAGCCGCTGCTGCCGTGCCATTCCGGGAAGGGTCGTTTAAACAGTCCCAGGGGTTGTTTCCCTGGGCGCACGGCGCGTGCAGCAAGGACGCGTGCGGCGGCGGCGGGGAGAGGGAGAGGCGGGTGGTGTACCTGAGGGAGATGTTTGAAGGGGTGGGCGGGGAACCGTATGTGATGAGTCCGATTGTGAGCCTGCATGTGCGGCAGAGTGACAAGGTGGAGGAGATGCAGCTCATGCCGCTCAGCTTGTATATCTTCTATTTGAACCGGCTGCGGCTCATTCGTGCGGATCTGTCTTATGTGTGGCTTAACACCGAGTCTCAGGTGCGTGGGTGGGTGGGTGGGTGGGTGAGGGGGTTGGGATGCATGAGTGTGTGGAGTGTGTGGGTTGCGGCTTGTTGATTGCTAGGGCTGGTTCCTGAAGATTTGTGCATGTCGGCGTGTGCTGTTCAATATGTGTGAATTGCCATGCATTTGCTTTTTCGATGATAGTCTTTGATAGTGTATTCTATCCCTTTTTATCATTTGAATTTTGGTGCAGGCTGTGATTGATGGAATCGCCAAGTACAAGGACTGGACGTTTATATACTCCAAGAATGCCCGGCAAGATTCATCCACCAAAGACACACGGCAATATGATGACGCACAATCTGTGGCTATAAGCTTTGCGAGTGTACTAATATCTGCGCAAAGTGACTACTTCATTGGGACCCTTGGGTCCAACTGGAGTAGATTGATGAATGAGCTTCGTTCTACAAGCGGACGTCTATTTTATCCCTTCATTGCCATGAATGATGGAGACTGGTGACATTTATTATTGGCTTGTAGAATGTTTCTTCATTGGCTGGTGCTTTGTTAGTAGTCAAATAGGGGTCATTTGAGACTGAACGGTAGTACGGTATTAGACGTAATATGAGAAATATACAGTAAGCCATGCGAATATCTACAGTTTGCCTCCCTTGACAGAGTTCTCATTTGTACCTGACCAGAAAGCGATAGTCATCCCCCAACCAATCACACCGAGCAGACACCTCATAGGCTTCTCCAGGCCCGAACTTTGTTACAGAGTATCCAGCTCTCGTCACCACCCAGTCGCCACAATTCGGAAACAGACCAGCCAGATCACCCACCCCGCATACGATCACCACCAGAACGCATCAGACCACACAACTAGCAGCGCACCGTCGTCACCCGCATTTTGCGCTTCACTCAAAATCCGCAGGAAATTATCCCCCCTCGACATTTCTTCCCAGCTTATCTCGCGATCGATCGGCTCGCTCCCTCGGGCAGTAATTTGTTATTTTTTCTATTAGACCGCGTTTCAATATGTTGTGGCGGCGGCAGCGGTTGCTAGACTGTATTCCGTGACCAGTCTTCTTTACCTGATCAGCAGCTTCGCGAAATGGGTGAGGGCTCCTCGCATTTCGCCAGCTCGTCGCATTTCTCAACGAAGAACTTGTCAGATTGCTCTATCCGCTCTCGTCGTCGGCTTCTTCCGTCTCGCTTCGCCACTCCTGCGACCCATTCTCGCGACGACTCCACCAATACCCTTCAGCCATCTGTCACCATGTCTTTGAATTCATCATCTCATCCCTCATCGCGCCATCGGTGTCATTACCAACAAAGATCTCGATCCCGCGAGCCGCATCGGCGGAGAAGCGCCCTCCACGCGGTCCCGGAACACGTGTCACTTGCCACGTGGGCCGTTTTGTGCTGCGTCGCCGTGTCGCCGTTGATCGCGGAGATCACGGCGAGCAGTGGCGGCGCGATGCGCCACGTCAGCAGCGATCGAGTGGCCTTGGAACGCGCCAAAAAACTCTTCGAGGTATCATTTTGTATTCGTGCAGCGATACCCTGTCAAGCAATCGCGATTAATTTCCACTCTTTTAGGACCCCCCTCCGTTGTGCTTACCAGCACCGCTTATCACCGCACTCCACCTCAACCTGGCCTGCTTGACCATCCTGCCTGCTCGACAAATATTAGTCATTGTCAAGGTTTGACTTTTGAGTCGACTCAAATATTAGTCATTGTTAAGGTTTGGCCGTGGTTTCACTGTGCTGATACCAAACATGCCACCTGATACGCATAACCTGATTGAATGTATCGAATAAATTCCCCTCCCTCTGTACGTCTGTCTCCCCTTCTTCCCCTGACCCCACCCCCTCCCACCCGCTCCCCTCTATCTCCTCCCTCCCTCTCCCTTCCCCTGCGCCCATTCCATTCCCGGGCCCCCTTCCCCCACGTCCAGGATTGGGAGACCGCCTATGGGCTCGCCAACGGCTCGCTATCCCCGCCCGCCGCGCTCGCCTTCCCCCCGGGCGTGCCCCCCGCGCCCCACCTGGAGGACTGCGGCGCGCGCACGGCTGCGCGCGCGCGCGCGGAGGCTAGGGGGCCAAACGGGGAGGCGCCCGCGTGGGCGCGCGCGGGGGAGTGCTGCCAGTGCAGCGCCGCCGTTCCCCCCGCCAACTGCACCCCGCAAACGCCTTGGGTAGGGCTTTGGGGGGAAGTGGGGAGGGGGGGAGGGTGGGGAAGGGTGGAAGTGAGGGGGTCGGGGGTGCGGCAGGTGGGGACTTGGTCAGGTTGAGGGAGTTAGGAGAGATAGAGGGGGGATTTGAATATGGACACTAGAAGGTGCTCACTGTTGTTCTCCCACCCCATTCATCGTCCCCTCCCCTCTTCCCTCCCCTTGTTCGCTCTCCCTTCTCCCCCTCCTCTTCCCACTCCTCTCCCCCCTCCCCTTCCCCCCTCCTCTCTCCCCTCCCCTTCCCCCCTCCTCTCCCCGCGCCCTTTCCCCCCACTCCTCCCTCCTCCTCCTCCCCCCACTCCTCCGCCGCCGCGTCCCCCCTCCTCTCCCCAGATCCGCGGGCCAGACGCAGCAAACCTCGGCCAGACGCGCACAGCACAGCGGGACCTATGGGCAAACCAGTTCCCCGCGCCCCCGGACTGCACCGGGCGGCGTCTGGTGCTGACGTTCTGGCCGACGCTGCACCACGGGCTGGGGTCGCAGCTGCACATCATGTCGTCCTTCCTCAGCCTCGCTGTGCGCTTCAACCGCACGCTTGTTATCAAACCGGAGACGTTCAATCGCGCCACTCAGGCCTGTAGAGGTGCGTGCAGGCAGGGGGACTGGCGGAGTGAATGGGGGGTGTGGGAGGGAGGGGGGTGAAAAGAGGGAGTTGTCGAACCAGAGACGTTCAACCGCGCCACTCAGACGTGTAGAGGTGCGTGCAGGCAGGGGGGAAGCTTCCATTGGGGCTTGCAGGCCTGGGGGGGGAATACGTGCTGCTGAGCAGTGCTGGAAAAAAGAGGACGAGGGGACATGGGGAACAAGAAAGGGGCGGGGGGGGGGGAGGGGGGAGGGAAGGAAAAGGGCTGTGCGGGCTTTTGAGACACCTGAAACGCCGCATCCCTGTGGTGAAGCGAGAGAGTGCAGATTGATTCGCCAACTAAGGCCTGCCGAGGTAAGCCTTAGTCTTTGTATGGTGAAGTCAGGGGGTGCACTACAGAAAGGCTTTGTTTCTTGGAAGCTCTGGTCTCTTGTTTCACAGTGCAACCATCCACTCATCCATCCATCCATCCATCCATCCATCCATCCATCCATCCATCCATCCATCCATCCATCCATCCATCCATCCATCCATCCATCCATCCATCCATCCATCCATCCATCCATCCATCCATCCATGGATGGTGAACAGCGACGGCACGAGCATGGGGAAGAGAGAACAGGCGCCTCTCTCTCCTTTTTCAACACCCCAATTTGTCCTCCTCCTTCCTTCGTTTCCCCTCCTTCACCTCCCCTTCCCCTCCTGTCCCCACTCTTTTCCGTCCCCCCCCCCCCCCCTAACCTCTCTCCCGTCCCTTCCCCCTTCCCCCTTCCCCCCTCCCTCCCCCAGACCTCGGCCAGGGCAACAACCTAGAGTGCTACTTCTTCCCACGAGGCTCCCACTCTTTTCCATCCCTCTCCCTTCCCTCTCCACCCCCCTTTCCCCCTCCTTCCCCAGATCTGGGCCAGGGCAACAACTTAGCGTGATACTTCTTCCCCCCACTCCCCTCCCCGCTCTTACCTCCCTCCCCTTCCCTCCCCGTCCCCCACCCCTCGCCCCCCCTCAGACCTGGGCCAGGGCTAAGTTAGAATATACGCTACTTTCATTTTGCGTTTTGCGTTTATACGCTTGTCGAATTCGTACGTTGCGTGTAGTTTGAAAATTCGACGAGTTGAATTTCGGGCAGACCGAAAAAAAAAAACAAAATTTCAATCTGAAGCTCGCGACGTGGCGATCTCAATTCCGAGTCGCAAATGTCGCGAAATGAACTCAAAATTTGAATTTTGAGCACCAAACCTCATCAACCCCTCCCCTCAAACGTTTCACACCCCTTTGAACCACAACATTCCACCATCCCCTCCAAGTGCTACTTTACTGGTTGGGAGCTCAACCCAACCCAATCTCCCAGGCATAAAGAGAGGCGTTTGTTCCCTCGACATTCATTCTCTCGCTTCCTATTCTAGCTATCTCCTTTCCCAAGCCACCATGGCTTCCACTCCTACAGCAACCACTTCTCGTACGCCACCCTTAGACTCTCCTGGTAGTTCCGCTGGTGGGACCTCTTCTAGTACGTCTTTGGTCTGCATGGACAGCAAGCACGCAGTCTACCGTCACTTCAAGGTGCCGGCCAATAGCGTTGGCGAGAACGGCACCAAGGTGTGTACCTACTGCAACTTCACATTTGTTGGCGGGGTTCACCGTTGCGCGCAGCATATCACCAGCTGGAACGGCATGCGCCGTCGCGAAGTGCATCTCTGCACTGCAGCGCCGAAGACTGCACATGACGCCGTGAAGGCGCTTTACGATTCCAAGTTGAAGGCCCGTGAAGCGAAGCGTGCGGCTGAAATTGCGGCGGTCGGCGCAGTCAACGGCAGAGGTTTGGATAAGAAGAAGATTCGGATGACCGACTTCTACGGCGACGACGCCGCGTGCGCGAACCAAGCTGCGGACGAGGCCATAAGCCTCTTCTTTGCCGCTCTTCATGTGCCGGAGCATCACGCGGACCACCCACTGTGGCGGAATGTGGTCTCCAGCATCCAGCGCGCGGGGCCGAATTACGTCGCGCCGAAGAGACGCTACATCGGTGGCGCCGGTCTTCCAAAGTGTCGCCAGCGCATTGAGGTGGCGCTCGCTCCTATCTCAGCAAGCTGGCGCCGTGACGGTGTCACCGTGGCAAGCGACATGTTCTCCGACAAGGCCGGCCGCCCGCAAGCCAACGTGCTCCTCATCAACGATAGCGGTGCGGTGTTTGTGGAGTCGATCGACACGAACATGGAGATGAAGACCGGGGGCTACATCGTGGGCATCTTGCGGCCCATCATCGAAAAGGTCGGCCCCGAGAATGTCGTCGCCTTGTGTTTTAACGGCGGCTCCAACTACGCGGCGGCATGCAAAGTGTTGATGCGCGAGTATCCCCACATTGAACACATCCCTTGCGCGACCCATGTCCTCGATCTCCTGATGGAGGGCATCGGGATAAAGGGATGGGCGAAGGACATCATCACGCGCGGGGACACCCTCATCTCGTTCGCCCGCAACCATCACTTCACCCGGGGATATATGCGGAGTCCGCTCGTGAACGGCGGCAAGGGGAAACAGGTTCTCAAGCCCGCGGGAACCCGATTCGGCACCAACTACATCGCCATCAACCGCCTCTGTGAAGTGCGCGCCGGCTTGACGCAGATGGTCCTCAGCGATGAGTGGGTCGAGTGGACTGCGGCTGCAGACAGGGCTGGGGCAGACACATTCAAAGACAACATCCTCGATGCCGCGTGGTGGACGCGCGCCGAGTTCTTCGCTAAGCTGATGAGGCTGCCATTCGTCGTCATGCGCAAGACTGACTCGGATTCGAAGGGCATGATGGGTCGTCTCTACGACCTCATGCTCCAGCTCACCGAGGACATCCGCGACTTCCTCGACGAGCATGCGGAAGGGGTCCTGACAAGCGACGAGGTGGGGGATATTCGGGAGATCGTGCAGGACCGCTGGGACAACGGGCTGGCGTTCAACCTGCACGTGATTGGCCTTCCTGGTGGAGAGTGCATTTTCCGCACCGACCTGGAGTGCAGGATGGTCTTCAAGTGGTACGTCTCCAAGCACCATGGTGACAAGACGGTCACTAGGAAGGACGGGGTCGAGCGCCGCGCCTCTCTCGTCATCTAGGAAGGCCTCAATGCCTTCCTGAACCTCCAAGGCAGCTTCGGCATGCCCGACGCTATTGCCGACCGCCAGGCAGTGAAGGAGGGCAAGATGACGGCGATGGACTGGTGGACATGGCACGGGATCGATCATCCTGAGCTCACCACCATGGCTTGCCGCGCCATCACGCAGCCGGTGTCCGCGTCTCCATGTGAGCGTAACTGGGCGAAGTTTGATGCTGTGCATACGGCAAGGAGGAACCGCCTCGGCGCGGTGAAGCTTCGTGACCTGGTGTATGTGACGCACAATTGGCAGGTGGTGCACAACTGGCACAAGGCCCCTGAAGGGCTGGGGGTGGTGAAGGGAAACATCGAGGACCCCCCCACTCCGGCTGGCTATAACGTCCCGGAGGAGGTGGAGGAACCTGAGGAGGGGGAGGATGATGTGATGGCAGATGAGTACTAGTGGATGGAAGACTCCATGCATGAGCGGCAGGCGGGGGATGGAGGGTGGACATGAGTAGAGTAGGGGATGGGGGGGTAGTAGCATGATTAAGGTGGGTGAAGTTGTAGTGGCAGATTAGTTTTAAGGGTTTTTTTTTCCTGTACCTTTCATATTAATACAAAGGGGATGGGGGTTACAACACCCCCCCATCCCCACCTCTTACCCCAAAAATCTGCCCGGGGAAGCGGATTCTTGTGCGTACCAGACCCCTCAGGGACTGCGGTTTGCGTATATACTCTAGCGTTTATACAGCAAGCGTACAAAACGCTAAACGCGTATATTCCAACTTAGGGCCAGGGCAACAACCTAGAGTGCTACTTCTTCCCGCTAGGCCCCCACTCTTTTCCGTCCCTCTCCCTTCCCTCTCCAACCCCCTTTCCCCCCTCCCCCCCCCCAGACCTGGGCCTGGGCAACAACCTAGACTGCTATATCTTATCCTCACTCCCCTCCCCGCTCTTTCCCTTTCCCCCCGCTCCCCTCTCCCCTCCCTTCCCCCTTCCCCCCTCCCTCCCCCAGACCTGGGCCTAGGCAACAACCTAGAGTGCTACTTCTTTCCCCTAGGCGCCCCCGCGTGTTTGCAGGTGGCACTGGCAGCGGAGGCGAAGGGGGAGGTGGTGAACAGCGATGGTGTGGCGATGGAGGAGAGGGAGCGGATCCTGGGGTCGGATGCGGTGGTGGTGCAGGTGGCCAATACGGGGCTGTTTGGTGAAGTGAGCGCTACCGAGTGAGTGAGTGGGTGGGGGGAGAAGGAGTGGGTGGGGAGAGGGAGAGGATCCTGGGGTCGGATGCGGTGGTAGTGCAGGTGGCCAATACGGGGCTGTTCGGTGAAGTGAGCGCCACCGAGTGAGTGAGTGGGTGGGGGGGGGGAGGGAGGAGGGCGGGCTGGGAGGGATGACTTTTGAGTCGACTCAAAAGTGTGGGGTGGGAGGGAGAGTGGGTGGGGGGAGGGAGCGGATTCTGCGGTCGGATGCGCTGGTAGTGCAGGTGGCCAATACAGGCCTGTTTGGTGAAGTGAGCGCTACCGAGTGAGTGAGTGGGCTCGGAGGGAGAGGGAGAGGAAGAGGTGAGGGAGAGCAGGGGAGGGGGTAGTGTTTCTTAGCATTGTTAGAAAGCAGGGAGCGACGAGATAGAAGGTGCAAGGGAGAGAGGGTCATGGGAATGAGAGAGGCGGTGGGTAGGGGGAGTGGGAGCAGACGCAGGGTTTGGAAACATTTGTGGTTGAGGTGAGCCAATACGGGGCTGCTGTTTTGAAGGGACGCATGTATGGGAAGGTTACATGAGTGGTTGGGGAAGGCGTGCGGTGAGAAAGGTGTGGAAGGAAGGAGGAGGCGAGTGAGGGAGGGAGGGACGGAGTGTGTGTGTGGAAAGGGGAGGGATGGGTAGGGGAAGAGGGAGTGGGGGATGTGGGAGTTGTGTGTGTTGGAAGAGATGGGTGGAGCGGGGGTGCATGTTTTCTTATTCTCCTTCATTTTTTCCTGTTTCTTTGGCCGCGCATGTTCCTACAGTTCTCCTGTGTGCATGCACGCATAAATGTCTGTATCGTCATCCTCGTTCCCTGTGCCATGGCTCTCTCATCCTCTCACCCACCCTTGCAGCCTGTGGGGTGCACCGTCCCTTGACCGGCCACTCACAATACAGCAGCTGGGGAGGATACAGGGACAGTACTTTGCATGGGGGCAGGTGCGTTTCCCCTGGCTCTTCCCCTATCCCACCTTCCCTTCCATTTTCAACTATGTTTTCATCGTCATTTCCATCGCCTCACAACTCACCCTCTTCTGGGGAAGGCGCAAGGCCAGGACCACTTTAATTGTCTCAGGTCCGTTTCAAATCTAGTCATTTCAGCACGGGTCTGCTGCTGTGCGTGCGTGGCACTACTGTGTCACTCTGCTGTTTCCACCACTGCTGGGCTGTGCTGGGCTGTGCTGGGCTGTGCTGGGCTGTGCTGTGCTGTGCTGGGCTGTGCTGTGCTGTGCTGTGCTGTGCGGGCGGTGCTGTGCGGTGAGGTGCGGTGCTGTGCTGTGCTGTGCTGTGCTGTGCTGTGCGGTGCTGTGCTGTGCTGTGCTGTGCTGTGCTGTGCGGTGCTGTGCTGTGCTGTGCGGTGCTGTGCTGTGCTGTGCTGTGCTGTGCTGTGCTGTGCTGTGCTGGGCTGTGCTGTGCTGTGCTGTGCTGTGCGGGCGGTGCTGTGCGGTGAGGTGCGGTGCTGTGCTGTGCTGTGCGGTGCTGTGCTGTGCTGTGCTGTGCTGTGCTGTGCGGTGCTGTGCTGTGCGGTGCTGTGCTGTGCTGTGCGGTGCTGTGCTGTGCTGTGCTGTGCTGTGCGGTGCTGTGCTGTGCTGTGCGGTGCTGTGCTGTGCTGTGCTGTGCTGTGCTGTGCTGTGCGGTGCTGTGCTGTGCTGTGCTGTGCTGTGCTGTGCTGTGCTGTGCTGTGCTGTGCTGTGCTGTGCTGTGCTGTGCTGTGCGGTGCTGTGCTGTGCTGTGCTGTGCCGTGCTGTGCTGTGCTGTGCTGTGCTGTGCTGTGCTGTGCTGTGCTGTGCTGTGCGGTGCTGTGCTGTGCTGTGCTGTGCTGTGCTGTGCTGTGCTGTGCTGTGCTGTGCTGTGCTGTGCTGTGCTGTGCTGTGCTGTGCGGTGCTGTGCTGTGCTGTGCTGTGCTGTGCTGGGCTGTGCTGTGCGGTGCTGTGCTGTGCTGTGCGGTGCTGTGCTGTGCTGTGCTGTGCTGTGCTGTGCTGTGCTGTGCTGGGCTGTGCTGGGCTGTGCTGTGCGGTGCTGTGCTGTGCTGTGCTGTGCTGTGCTGTGCTGTGCTGTGCTGTGCTGTGCGGTGCTGTGCTGTGCTGTGCTGTGCTGTGCTGGGCTGTGCTGTGCGGTGCTGTGCTGTGCTGTGCGGTGCTGTGCTGTGCTGTGCTGTGCTGTGCTGTGCTGTGCTGTGCTGGGCTGTGCTGGGCTGTGCTGTGCGGTGCTGTGCTGTGCTGTGCGGTGCTGTGCTGTGCTGTGCTGTGCGGTGCTGTGCTGTGCTGTGCGGTGCGGTGCTGTGCTGTGCTGTGCTGTGCTGTGCTGTGCTGTGCTGTGCTGTGCTGTGCTGTGCTGTGCTGTGCTGTGCTGTGCTGTGCTGTGCTGTGCTGTGCAGTGCTGTGCTGTGCTGTGCTGTGCTGTGCTGTGCTGTGCTGTGCTGTGCTGTGCTGTGCTGTGCTGTGCGGTGCTGTGCTGTGCTGTGCTGTGCTGTGCTGTGCTGTGCTGTGCTGGGCCGTGCTGGGCTGTGCTGTGCGGTGCTGTGCTGTGCGGTGCGGTGCGGTGCTGTGCTGTGCTGTGCTGTGCTGTGCTGTGCTGTGCTGTGCTGTGCATGTGCGGTGCTGTGCTGTGCTGTGCTGTGCTGTGATGTGCTGTGCTGTGCTGTGCTGTGCTGTGCTGTGCGGTGCTGTGCTGTGCTGGGCTCCTTCTTGTTGCTCTTGCCTCCCAGGAGGAGGATATAGTCTTGTTTCATTCTCCCATTCTCCCTCCTCTTTCCTTCAGTCCCTGCTCATTGCCTCTTGCTTGTCTCAATCCCAACCCGCCGTCCAATTCACCCCCACACGCAAGAACAACCCATTCTTTTCGCTTTTTTCATTCGCTTCAGGTCCTCGTGAAGTCTTGCTCCTCTTCCCTCAACCACCCCCCACCCTCATCCCCTCACCCTCCCTCTTTCCTCCCCTCACCCTCCCCCTCCCCTCATCCCCTCCCCTCATCCCCTCCCCTCATGCCCTCGCCTAACCCCACCCCCACTCCCACCTCTTCCAACCCCACCTGCTCACCCTCCCTCTCCTCTCCCCTCATCCCCTCGCCCACCCCCACCCCCTCCTCCTCCCCGCCCCCTTCACAGCCAGAGACAGCTATTCCACACTCCCACTCCCTCCCCCCTCCCAGTGCCCCACATTATAGAAAGCGCTTTTTGAGCCGCCTCGGAATGAGACAGCTATTCCATGTCATAGTCATCGCGTGTAGAGAGATCACTTTGACGCGCCTCAGAAGAAGTTCCACAATATCAAACCGCAACCCTCCTTTCTTCCCCTTTCTCTCAGCAGGCGCGTTGGTGGTGTCCGTGTCCCCAGGCCGTCTGCTTCGTGCTGTTTTTTGAGAATTCTCACAAACCAGATGGTGTCCGTGTCCCCAGGCCTTTTGAGTCGACTCAAATGTCCCCAGGCCCTCTGCTTCGTGCTGCGCTGGCCCTCCACTGTCCCGCTCGAGCCACAGGCAGCTGCAATCTCACAAAAAACGAAGTTTCAAGCCTCCTTTCGCCCCTTTCCCCCCTTTCCCCCCTTTCTCTCTGCAGGCGCGCTGGTGGCGAGCGCAGGCGCTGCGCTTCATGCTGCGCTGGCCCTCCCCGCACCTGTGCCACGCCACCAACCGCATGCGCCACTCCGCGTACGGGCTCCTGGTAGCAGACCGAGTGGCATCCGTTGCCCTGAAACAAGCCGAGCTGTTACAAGCACTCAACGCCTCTGCAGCTGCTGCAGCTGCTGCTACCGGCGGTGCTAGCAGCACTGTTCCTCCCGCCTCCTCCTCCTCCTCCTCCTCGTCACCTTCTTCTCAAGACCCCTCCCAGCCTCCATCTGCCGATTTAGCAGATGATATTCGATTCCTCTCCTCCTCTCCCATCACCCCTCCTCCCTCCACCTCCTCCCCTTCTTCCTCCTCCCCTCTCGTCTCCCCTCCTCCCACTGCCGCTCCTCCCTACACTCCCGCCTCTCGCTCCCCACCATCCCTCACCTCGCACACCTGGCCACTGCAAGGCCTATCCGGCTGCAGCAGCTGCAGCAGCAGCAGCACCAACCCTCCACCACAACAACCACCAGCCACATGCACATGGGAGGAAAGCGCTCGGGTGTACCAAGAAGTGGGAGCATCGCCGTTCATGCTACGGCCAGTGGTCAGCATGCACGTGCGGCAGGGCGACAAGGGCATCGAGATGACTCTTCACTCCCTCGCCACCTTTGTGTTCTTCGCGTACCGCATGCGCCGCCACCGCCCCGACCTGCAGTACATCTGGCTCAGCAGTGAAATGGAGGTGAGGGACGACCGTGCTATGTGTTTGTGGAAACACATAGATTGTATAATGTTGTATGTATGTACTGCGTGCAGCTGCACTCCCTCGCCACCTTTGTGTTCTTGCGTACCGCACGCGCCGCCACCGCCCTGACCTGCAGTACATCTGGCTGAGCAGTGAAATGGAGGTAAGGCGGTGACTGTAGAGTCGAATGAAAGGGCAGGAAAGGGCATGAAAGGGCATGGAAGGGCATGGAAGGGCATGAAAGGGCATGGAAGGGCATGGAAGGGCATGAAAGGGCATGAAAGGGCATGTAAGGGCATGAAAGGGCATGAAAGGGCATGAAAGGGCATGATAGGGCATGAAAGGGCATGAAAGGGCATGAAAGGGCATGAAAGGGCATGAAAGGGCATGAAAGGGCATGAAAGGGCATGAAAGGGCATGAAAGGGCATGCAAGGGCATGCATCGCCACCAGCCTGACCTTCAAAACATCTGGCTCACCAGCGAGATGGAGGTATGAAAGTGATACACACCTGTGTATGTTATTGTGTAATGTTTGTGTATTATTGTATGATTGTGTATGCAGCGTCTACAGTATGCGTGTAGGCCTGGCCTTGAGTATATCTGGCTCAGCCGCAAGATGGAGGTGAGGTGACGTACGAAAGTGTTACATCCCCCTTTTCCCCCCTGCCCCCTTCTTCTTCCTTCTTCCCCCATCCCCCCTCCCGCCTCCCCACCAGTCGGTGACGACAGTAGCAGAGACCTTCCCCGACTGGACCTTCCTACGCCACCAGCAACGGGGCAACCAACGCAAAACTCTTAGCACTCATTTGCCCCGCATTCCCCACCTCTACCTTCCTCTCCCCCCACTCCCCACCAGTCGGTAATGGCAGCAGCAGAGACCTTCCCCGACTGGACCTTCCTCTACGCCAACAGCAACAGAGCAACAGACGTGGAGCAGATGAAGCAGCAGCAGTTCTCAGGCCAGCAGCCCATAGCTGAAATCTTTGCCAACTTGCTCATCACGTCCGAGAGCGATTATTTCATCGGCTCGCTGGGCTCCAATTGGAATAGAGTAATTGATGAGTTGAGGTCCACTGGTGGGAGGCTGTTTGGAGGGCTGGTTACCCTGACGCATGGGGTTTAGGTTACGGTGCAGTGCACTGCAGTGGTGCCTTTTTGTTTTGTGGATGTTACAGTGGTATTGTGCCTTTTTGCTGTTGCCGCGAACAATCAAGGTTTCATAAAGCCCGTAGCCCTAGTTGCACAAGACTACTAAGGTTAAATTCGTTCATAACACATCACATCACACTCTGCAGTTTCCTCCCCCTCCCCTACTGTTTTTTTTCGCCACATTCAACTGCTCCACATTTTCCCCCCTGGTGGGTGGGCTCACTACTCAAGGCATGTCAAGAACACATACGGTACCACGACAATACCGTACAAATTACGACGATTATTCCTCCCTACTATGCACCAGTGTTATTACAAAAGAATTCTCGGTACACCTCGTCGAGCGACGGATCCGCGTCCCGCATGCGACGCAGCAGCAGCTGCTGCGAGTCGCGCGTGCTGAGCTTCCACGGGTGCAGCGCGGGGATGCGCGTGGAGTAGGACGCGTTGGCATCGTCGCGCTGAGCATCCCAGAGGTAGACTGTGGCGTCTAGCACTGGGTCCCACTCGGAAAAGGGCTCCACGCAGAGCAGCATGTTTCCCACAGCCACCTGGAGGAGAATAGGGAGCGGGATGGGGGAGAGAGGTCTTGAAAGTCATCCCAGAGGTAGACTGTGGCGTCTAGCACTGGGTCCCACTCGGAAAAGGGCTCCACGCAGAGCAGCATGTTTCCCACAGCCACCTGGCGAGGAGGATGGAAACGGGTGGGAGGGGTGAGAGAGGGGGCGATGGGAATGGGAGGTCACACCTTGCTCCGCCTGAAACAAATACGGGGGCACACGGTCGAGGATCTCTACCTCACCGCATCTCACCTCAACTCACCGCATCTCACCTCGTCTCACCTCTGAGTACACCCGACTGAACGCAGGCAGCAGCTGGGTGGAGATGAGGGGAGCATGGCGCATGGGCACATACACCACGTCTGCGATCCGCTTGGTGTACATCCCCTTGTGCTCCGCAGTCGCCGCCTCAAACCGCGCGCGCAGGGGCGGCGACAGGCTATCCACTGCCGCCCGCACTTTTTCCCTTATTGGCGGGTTGTTGGTCCAATCGGACACGTTCGGGGTGAACGGGCCCGAGGGGGAGAGGGAGACCCAGCGGTAGGCGAGAGTGGGGTTGTTGGGGAACCAGATACGCGACTGGGAGGGAAAGCGGAAGAGACGGGGTGGGGGAGAGGGAGCGGGCGGAAGGTGGGGAGAAAGAGAGAGGGGTTGGGACTATTGAGCAGAGGAGTCAAAACGGAGCGTTCCAGGATGAATGGGCCTGAGGAGGGGAGAGGTAATGTACTCAGCAGTAGAGGAGTGCAGGGTTGCTGGGGAACCAGATGCGCGGCTGTGAGAGAGGAAAAGGAGGGATCTGGGAAAAACGTCTACGCGAATCATTATGTCTTGAGACGACTAAAGAAACGACTTGAATACAGACCACCATCATCAGCCGATAATCACCATCCAAAGTTCATCCCCCCTTGCCCGCAACCCTCTTGCCGCCTCTACTCCATCCTTTCATCCCTCCCTCTCCCACAAACCCCTCCCTCCCCTCTCTGGACGGTCTTCTCCCCCTCTCCCCCTCTCCCCCTCTCTCCCTCTCCCCCTCTCCCCCTCTCCCCCTCTCCCCCTCTCCCCCTCTCCCCCTCTCCCCCTCTCCCCCTCTCCCCCTCTCCCCCTCTCCCCCTCTCCCCCTCTACCCCTCTACCCCTCTACCCCCCTCCCCCTCTCCCCCTCTCCCCCTCTACCCCTCTACCCCTCTCCCCCTCTCCCCCTCTTCCCCTCCGTTCCCCACTCCTCTCCCCTGTATCCCCTTCTGATTCCCAACCCCCCCCTCCCCTCTCCCCCCACCCCCAAGCACCGTATTGGCACCAGCAAGGGTCCAGTAGTTGAGAATAACGTCGTCGTTGGACCAGAGCACGCCGGCAGCGGAGGGGTAGCGCTCAAACACGTCCGCCAGCGTGGCGTGCGCGAAATACCATGGCGTGTGCTCCCCACGCAGCTGGGTGGGAAGAGAGGTGGGAGACATGGGGGTTGGGCGATGGAGGGAGGAGGGAGACGGGAGAAGGGAGAAGGGTGGAGGGGGGAGGGAGAAGGGAGAAGGGTGGGGAGAAGGGGGGAGGGAGAAGGGGAGAGGTGTGGGAGATTCTGATTGCATGCTACTTGAGACGTTTCCACCTTGAGCCATGTAGACTTGAGACGTTTCTACGAGCGACGAGCAAGGATACATGATGAAAGCACGCCACCCTCCAAAACGCCCTCTCTGTTGCGTAATGGATTCGAAAATACCACGACGTATGGACTAGAAGGCATCCCACCAGGAATCCCTGTAAAACAATGAACGCACGCACAATGCAAAGCGCACGTAAGGATCCATGCGTGCCACCCGGCGCCACCGCCAGCGCTGCTGCCCCTGTGGCACATAAGACTTATGCCACACGGGCAGCAGCGTTGGCAGTGGCGCCGGCAGCAGCAGCAGCTGCTGCGGCTGCGCTTTTCTGCGGCAGCACATCGCATGAGCAGCAGCACAGATTATTACAGCAACCCTTACACGGCACATCAGTACAAAAACAGCTTGCAAGCTTCATCAGGAGTGAAGTGAGGCACCACTTGAGACATGACCCTGCCTTTTTGAGCAATACAGACGAAAACATCCCGTCTAACTCGCGTGCTATGCACCACATGAATCCAGTCGAGCTGACCTGCACGGCGCACACACCACTCCCATCCCAAACCTCCCTCACGCAAGGGTCAAGAGACGCCCATCAGTCAGTCTACCGAATAAAGAGCCTATGTCACATAGTGAGAGAATATGGTATTCTCTCACCGGCAAGACAGAAGTAGTGTTTTGAGACGTCTCAAGACGCCCATCAGTCAGTCTACCGAATAAAGAGCCTATGTATTCTCTCACCGGCAGAACGCCGAGCTCAGGGATTGCCTCGTCCGAGTAGACCACTACGTCGCGGAACACGCGCCCGTACACGCTCCGTAGCAGCGCCACGGACGAGTTCACGAGCGGCGCGCGATTGTACAGAATCGCCAGCACCACTCCGCGCAGCTGCTCGCGCCACAGGGTCAGGTTCGCGGGCTCGGGGGGGGAGGGGTCGGGGGGGGCGCAGCAGAGCGGATCCCGATGCGCGCAGGGCTGCGGGGGGCTGGGCGCGGCGTGGCAGGGGACGGCGACTGGGAAGAGCTGTGTCAGGGGTGGAAGAGGGGGAATGGGGGGAAGAGGGGGAAGGAGGGGAAGAGGGGGAAAAGGGGAAGGAGTAGTAGGAAAGTGGGGAGTAATGGAGGGGTGAGGAAGTGGGGACGGAGAACTAGTGTGGGGGAGGGGGCGACAGCGAAGGTCGGAGCGGGGGAGGAGGTGGGGCGGGCGTTGGGGAAGGGGGAAGAGGGGAGGGGAGGGGAGGGGAGGGGAGGCGACGGGAGGGGAGCGGCGGGGAGAGGAAGGAAACGAAGTGATACAAGCAGGGTAAGGAGCAAGAGAAAGAGCGCGGCCTCACATACAACGGCGCCGCGACGCAGCAAACTTCGCAGCAACGACGCCCCACCTCTCGGAGAAGGTCGCAGTCGCGCGGCGGCCCGACGCGGAAGGCGAGCCCAAGGGAGAACACGGGGCCGCCCTGAAGGAGGAGGTATGAGATGAGGAGCACGAGAGTGACGCCGCAGCCCGCTGCCGTGCTGACGTGCCACTGGCGCAGCGACGGCGCAAACCCCTGATCAGGGAACAGCGGATTCGCCTTTTGCGCGATGATTTCGCGAGGTGACAAGTGGTGGATAATGTGGGGAGATATCGAGGCGCGGCCGGATTTAACCGTGGCATGAATATCATCGTCGTGACTGGAATTCCGATAATTATGGTTGTAATCCGGACGACTCGTCGGACGAGGGAGCCATCTGACGGCGTGGCGCCACCACTCCATTGCGGCGGATGGGTGGAGGTGATCACGCGCGCGAACCAAAGAATCGGGGCCAGAGACAATGGTTGCAGAATGCTTTGACGATGTAGTACAGAGTACCTCGTGTGGTGAACGCTACGCAGCGACAGACCCGCTTATCAGACTGAGCTTGTACTAAGAAATCTAAGTGTGGAGTTGTGTCGCGCTCGTGAATGTAGTGGGCCTGAGAATCACAATGCCGGCCTGGTATGATCACCTCAGAATGCTGATGTGAGCGTACTAGGATTTATTCTTAGAAAAACTAACAGCGGTTGGCATAAATAAAAGGGAGGGGGGAATAGCCATTGCCACCTGGGCGCAGCGGAATGCCCGAGGTGTTATGTGGGAGGCGGAAGAGTAGGATTTGAGGGTGTGTACGGCCTTTTCGAAACGGACGTTCCCTATCTGCTGTGAATGTTTCTTGTTTCGAGCGGCTTGACTTGGACATGGTAAGGCGTCGGCGCAATGGATCAATCCCCCCCATCCATTCCGCTCCGCCGCAGCGCACCATGCGGGTTGCTCGGTGCAGCTGCGCCTTGCACGCATGACGCGGATGACGTGACGAGACAAGTGCTACTGGTGGAAGGCAGAGGCGTAAGGGCGTGTGTGAATCTAGTTTCACCTGAAGTTTAGGTTTTTGACTCGATTGTAGCAAGTGAACACTAAGCGAACCTGACTCGATTTTGAGTGTTTGCAAGGTTCGAACCGCGAGTGTCAAAAGTTGTAAACTCAACCACACGCGCAAGTGCGAATCTGCAAGTTCGAGCCTGTAGGGGGGAACCGAACCGCTTCTAGGGTGCGTAGGTTACCCAGTATCAGCATCTTGACAGCGCGACACGTCAACGAAGTCACACGAACGTGTTACGAGTGTCGCACCTTCCGCGTACGTGCCTGAAACCACACACGTTCACTACAACGTGCAAAACCACGTTTGCTCATAAACTCGAATCTTGTTCACTTTTCGGGGTTCGAGTTTCGTGCGTGACAAAGCGAACAAGGCATTGGCGAAGACATTGGCGAACATGAACGTAAATAGTTACCACACTATGTTCGATCCCATTTTCGAACTGCAATTAGATTCACACACACCCTAAGGAAGAAAGCACCCGAGGCAATCCACACGGGTTTTTATACGGGCCATCACAAAACATTTAGGAGTTATCACGAGTAGTCAAATGTTCCGCCAAATCTATCACGGACAGTCACAAAATCCGCCAAATCTATCACGAACCATCATACGGGTATCACCCGCCGTCACTCAAAGGCACTAATTTCTATCACGGGTAGTCACACTCGAAACTTTGCTATCCCAGATGAGCCATGTCATCATTTCGTTGACCCGCCCTGAAACACTGTACAGATTTAGGGACTTTATTTCAGGTTGCTCGTTTTTGTCCTGTATACGCGACCATTTTGGGTGCAAAGATACCTGGTTACGTTCGAATCGTCGTAACAAAACATAATGGTTCACAAATTTTATGAAAGAATTCGAACGCATATATGTATTGCTAGAGTTCACAATTCATTGAATCTGCCTAAATGTTTATCAAAATGTTAAACAATCCATAACTAGGAACGCACAATTTATACTTCGTTATACAGCGGATAGAGTATACAAATCGAGAATAATCTCAGCGTAGTACTGCAACACTAGCCTTCAATTACATACTATAGACATAAAATAATCTCATGCCAGCGGCTGGCAGCCAGCCTATCTCCACATAGTTTAAACACGCAGGCATTGTATCACAAGGGTTTTGGAAACCATGTTGCACAAACCATGCTTTGTACTGCAAATTTCACATCTAGTCAAGCGCTGCCGATGTGTTGAGTGTTTCCTTTAGGAAATGTGCACAACATGAATACGCTACCAGTGTTACGGTATCCTAAAAATGATGCAAGGACTGCACTGCATTGTTCAATAACATTAATTTAAGGTTTCTAACATTTAAACAGTTTCCCAGCCAATGTATGAACCTGCCGGATGGACACGCGGGTGCCCACAGTGGACGATTCACTCCGAGTGGTGGTGATGATGATCTTGGTTTTGCTGCCATACCCACACCCCTTTTTGGCTGATCCACACCCACCCCCTTTTCTTGCTGCCCCTTAACCAGGGCTTGTTTTCCTTGATGCTCCACACCCACTCCTTCTTTCCTGCTCCATCCCCACTCCCCTATTGCTTTCAATTCCCACTACTCTCCCTTTCAGCCCCATACAAACTTGCAGCTCCACACATGAACCCCTCCATTCCTGGTCCATGCCCTCTCTCCTCCTTTTCTGATCCATTGCAACTCCTCCCCTTGCTGCTCCACACCTACTCCTCTCCCTGAGTGCCCAATACCCACTCATCCCCCTTCCTGCCCACACTGACTCCACTTCCTTGCTGCTCCCTACCCACCCACTCCCTTGCAGCAACCCGCCCACTTCTCACCCTTTCTGCTCCACACCTGTGCCGTTCCGTATAGCCACAAACCCACTCCTCAGTCCTGATGCTCCACACCTGTTTCCCTCACTTGCTCGTGTGCACCCACTCCCCTCCCGACTACAGGGCGTGTCTGCTCCATACCCACTCCCCCACCTTGATGCTCACCACCTTCACCCCACCAGCGCTGCTGCATTCCCACAAACCTGTAGCGATCCATATCCACTTCCCTGCCTGGCTGCATCATTCCAACACCCCTCCATTGCTGTCCCGTAGCCAGTCCACTCCCTTGCAGCCCCATCACCCATCCCGTCCCCTGCCATCCCGTAGTCACCCCACTCCCTTGCTGCCCCATCACCCCTCCCGTCCCCTGCCGTCCCGTAGTCACCCCACTCCCTTGCTGCCCCCCCCCTGTCTGCCCCATTCCCAACCCACTCCATTGCTGTCTCGTAGCCAGTCCACTCCCTTGCAGCCCCATCACCCCTCCCGTCCCCTGCCGTCCCGTAGTCACCCCACTCCCTTGCTGCCCCCCCCCTGTCTGCCCCATTCCCAACCCACTCCATTGCTGTCTCGTAGCCAGTCCACTCCCTTGCAGCCCCATCACCCCTCCCGTCCCCTGCCGTCCCGTAGTCACCCCACTCCCTTGCTGCCCCCCCCCTGTCTGCCCCATTCCCAACCCACTCCATTGCTGTCCCGTAGCCAGTCCACTCCCTTGCAGCCCCATCACCCCTCCCGTCCCCTGCCGTCTTGTAGTCACCCCACTCCCTTGCTGGCCCCCCCCTGTCTGCCCCATAGTCACCCCACCCGAATGCTGCTGCATAGCCACTCCTCTCCCTTGCTGCACCAATCCTGGCTGCACCATAACTCCTCTCCCTGGCTGCCCCACACCCACACTTGTCCCTGGCTGCCCCACACCAACAGCCCTCCCTTGCTGCCCCACACCCACACTTGTCCCTGGCTGCCCCACACCCACACTCCTCCCTTGCTGCCCCACACCCACACTTGTCCCTGGCTGCCCCATACCCACACTTGTCCCTGGCTGCCCCACACCCACTCCTCTCCCTTGCTGCCCCACACCCACTCCTCTCCCTTGCTGCCCCACACCCACCCCTCTCCCTTGCTGCCCCACACCCACTCCTCTCCCTTGCTGCCGAACACCTCTCGCCGTTCCACGCCTGCCATTGCCTCTCCCAGCACGCCCTCCAGCTTCGCTGCTCCCCCTACCCCGTCTGCTTGTTCCTCTACTTCCCATCTGCTTGTTCCTCTACTTCGTGGCAGCAATGGTTCCTCCTCCTGCGGATCCAAGCCACTCCGCTCCATGCTGCTAGGGTCGACAACTTCCCTCTGAATATTTAGACACTGCAACCGCCTCAACCTCCTAGCGGCGACGGACTCTCTAGACCCCCTCCCATGCGTCACAGCAGCACCAACGGTGTCATCCCTGCAGGGCACCCCAGAGTCAAATGCTGCCATTTCCACTGCAGCCGAACTTTCCTGAGTTCCCACTTGCACAAGATTAGGGGACTCTTCAGCAACAGGCTGTTGTCCTTGACCCTGGTTGCCCTCGGGGGTCGTGGCAGTAGCTTGTGCATCTGTTTCTAGCCCCGTGTGTGACCGAGTGAAGATCACATGCGCCACGTTACCGCCCTCACCATTGTTTTCATCCGAGGAATCATCACACACCTCATCAGTGATATCCTCAAGTTCATCACCAGAGGAGCCCTCCCCTTCATCATCTTGTCCCGTCCCCTCACGCCTCAACGACTCACAGATCACCTCCCTGCCATGTCGTCCTCCGCACGCCCTGCATGAGATCGTGCGGACGGTCCCATCAACGCTTGTCACCGTTTGGGCATGCAACTCCCCTTCAGGTGTCATCAACGCCTCCCACATAGCCCTACTAGCTGCACGCACGTCACATGTACGAGAGTTGTGGCCGTATTCCGAGCACTTCTTACACTTGTGCAATCTCTTGGGATCGAGCTCACCATGCGATCGAAGCCTCTTCTTGGGGGGGCGGCCTGACTTCTTCTTGTACTTTGGAGGCAGTGTGGTACCATCCGGCTTCACACTTGTAGGGTCGATCAATTTCCAGGGCGTCACATACACTTCCTTCAGGGCCGCCACAGTGTGATACTTGCTGATCATAGCCAGAGCCCTCTCCCCATCCTTTCTGAAGACCGCGAACATATGGACGCATGGCAGTCCGTATTCTCTGCAGATAAAACAAAATGGGCACACGGGGGCAAGACAAGAAAGAGCAGATCCCTCCAACCATAGGTAGGTGATCGTACGTTGCATGCATACACATGCATGTGGGAAATGTACGATGAGCCGTATGTTAAAATAAATATTAACATAGATTTTAGATAGACAGGCAAGATGGGCAACTTGAACTCACTGTGTATAGTTGCAGGAGCACTTGGTGTTGTCCACCTTTTCCGGATCCGTTGTCACGATTCTGCTCTCCGTCTCCCCCTGCTCAACCCTGTACTCGTTCTCTCCCGTACATGACACCTCATAAGATCGGCTGCGGTCCCGGTTTGCTTTGACAATCAGCCCTGTCTTAGTGGGTAGGTCGGAATCAGTCAAGGCAGAGTACTCTTTGCGCCTCTTTTCCATTATTGGGGCGAGTTTATATGACAGCCTCAATAGCACCTGAGGTGCGTTCTTCTCTCTCAATCCAGAGAGTGACGCATGATGCGACTCAACTGGATTTGAGGAGTAGCAGCCGAATCGGGGTGCACTAAACTCGGTTGTTGCCCACTTCATGGACAGTGATTTGTCCACGAGATATGCTACCCCCCCAGGACATTCCTCATCGATCTTGGCCATGTGTCCAGCATGTACAGCATCAGTCAAAGCTACGGCTGCAGCCAAAATCCGACCATCGAGGTCTGATCCGAATTTGCTTTTGAAATTCCGCACTAGATGGGTGATGCAGTATGATTCCCGAATCAATGGCAGGCATCTCGCGGTGGCTGCCTTCCAAGCGCCACCACGGTCATGCATCATGACGTAATCAGCAGAGTTCACTTCAGGAACAGCCCTCAGAAGCAGATTGAAGATGTAACTGCATGACTCCTTGTTTTCTCCCTCCACCCAAGCACAAGCAAGTCTCACCAACTTGTGCTGGCTGTCAAGGAGACACAAGTTGAGGGTGTGGCCTGCCCACTGGGTTTTGTCATGACAACCGTCAGCAAATATGATTGGCAGGCAGTTCTCTAACATCTTCCTTGCACCAAGGAAAATGACACCTGCTCGGAAAAAACGACCTCGTTTTTTCTCCATGGATACCACACTAGTGGGGTTCTTGTCTTCGAAAATCCTCAAAAGGTCTTCCATGTACTGAAAGCCCTCATCCCCCGCGAATGCTTTCTCCAGTCTCACCTCAGCAATCACTCCATGGGCTAGAGCGTACGAGCAAGACACACCCAGCACTTCTGAAACCCTCTTCATCAAGCCCTTAGATTTCACCTCACTATGACTCATGATGTCTCGTGCGATCTGTTTTACCTCGTCTCTCCGCACACGACCGGGACCAACCGTACACTTGTCCGCATGATGCAAACGAGCAGTAGTGACCCTAAGACAGCTTGACGAAGGACCACATATGATAACACGGAAAGGGCAAAACCCTTCAGGTGCTTTAGTCTCATTGACAGGCCAACGTTTCCCAGCCATGGACTTGCACCATGCCTCGATGCGCGTGGAATTGTTTCTCGGGAAAATCAGCTCAAACATATGCTTTCGGCCATAGCGGCGCACCTCATCCCTTGCGGTGTCCACCGAGGAGTAGACTTTACCCACAGTGATGTTGACATCAGATTCGTTCTGCGAGGCAAATGCTCTTGAGGGCAGAGCGCATGAAATAGGGACACAAAGGTGCACGTTGCATTTGAGTTTCACGCAGAAACATACGCGTATTACGTCCACACACATGGTTCTATGCTGCACAAGGAAATGACAGCTACTGATGACTGCCCAAACAAAACATGACCTTACCGTTTCCGTAGGAAAGTTAACATGGCTAGTGCGCTTAGAAATCTGCGAGCAACAATACCGACGGGGATTGAGTCACAAAAACAGAAAAATCAGTGTCATAAAAAGGGCATGCGCACATTGTAAAAGGGTAATCATGACAATGGCCAGACTTTAGCGTCGATGTAGAGCGTTATAGTCACGCCAAGGCAGCGCTAGACTTTGGCGCCAGAGCAGCGCCGGACTTTGGGCCCATTGGCGCCAGAACAGCGCGAGGCTTTGGCGCCAGAGCAGCGCCTGCCTTTGGCGCCATTGGCGCCCGAGCAGCGCCAGGCTTTGGCGCCAGAGCAGCGCCGGACTTTGGCGCCATTGGCGCCAGAGCAGCGCCAGGATTTGGCGCCAGAGCAGCGCCTGCCATTGGCGCCAGAGCAGCGCCAGGCTTTGGCGCCAGAGCAGCGCCCGCCATTGTGTGAGAATGAGAACGAGAGAATGGTGTGAACTATGAATGAAGCGAGTACAAATATGAAACCCTAGTTGGGTTGTACCCCCTATGGGATACCCCACTATAGCCTACACAATAGCATAAACTAGAATGTTCTGACACACCCCCATAGGCAAAGTGGGGGAGAACAAGGGGTCACAAGACCAGTCAAGCAAAGCAAAGCAAAGCTCAGGGTGGATCATAAAGTCACCACACATTCCGAGCACAAGTTCAAAGGCCAAAAGGCCAGTTCACACGCAAGAGCACGTATATATATATATACGAGACTAAGCAAGCAAGAGCAGGAGTATATATATGTGACAGTACAAGCAAGGTCAAGAGGTGAGCAAGTGAGGCAAGACAGGCACAAGACCCAGCTGAGTGCTGAAGCGCTGATGATCACAAAACGCAAGTGCCTTGGTGAAAACATCAGCAGTGTTGGCCTCAGAGGCCACGTACGCAAGTCGCAACTGTCCACGCTGCTGTAGCTCACGAGCAAGAAAGTAACGGAGAGCAATGTGCTTTGTCCTGTGCTCCAATTGTTGCTCTCGACACAAGGCCAGCATGGCCTTGTTGTCTACGTACAGGACTGGAGGAGAACGAGGCGGCTCTCCAAGGTCGCTCAGCAGGTAGGTGAGCCAGCGAAGCTCCTGGGCAGCCATAGCCCCGGCGTAGATCTCAGCCTCACAACTGGAGCCGAGAACAGAAGACGAGCGGGTAGCCCGCCACGAAACAGAGCCGGAACCAAGACTGAAGGTGTAACCCTATGACGACCGCTGCGTAGCCTGGTCGTCAGCCCAAGAAGCGTCCGCGTGCCTAGTGAGGACCACTGGACTCCGCCCTCCAAGCACTAGCCCCATGCCCGACGTACTGCACAAGTAACGCAGCACCCTCTTCGCTGCAGCCATGTGCTCTGGTCGGTGTCTCCCAGGAGCAACATAGCGTGCAAGAATGCTAAGAGGGTATGCAAGGTCAGGTCGTGTGCAGGTCATCAGGTACATGAGGCAGCCAACAAGCTCTGGATACGGGCAACTCGACTCTACGGACTCATCCGAAGGCAGAGCTGTGAGTGAGTGGCGAGTAGGCAGAGGAGTGGCCTGAGGCGAGGAGTACGTGAAGCCGAAGCGCTGAAGGACCTGCTGCACCATGTGTGACTGAGTCAGGGTAATGGTGCGGCGTGCTCTGTCCCGGGTGATCTGCAAGCCAAGGTAGCTGCGCAGTTCACCCAGGTCTGTGCACGTGTGTTGCTTCTGCAGCTCGGAATTCACGTAGGCAAGTCCAGCAGTGTCAGCTGTGGCAAAGACCAAGTCGTCGACGTACACGAGGATGTAGAACGGCGGCAGAGAGGTGTCGGTGCGCAGAAACAGCGACGGGTCGGCAGTAGAAGGAGCAAACCCAAGAGCCGCAAGCGTAGTCCTCAGTGTGTCGTGCCACTCACGTGGCGCCTGGCGGAGACCGTAGACTGGACGCCGGAGACTCCACTGGGTACCAAGAGGAAAAGACCCAGTGAAGCCAGGTGGGCGGCGCAGCCACATCTCCTCGTGCAGGCTGCCTTGCAAGAAAGCTGTGCTGAAGTCGAGAGAGTGGAGCTCGTAGTCACGGTGAGCAGCAATGTGCAGCAGTACCTGAAGAGTGGTCATCTTCGGGGTTGAGGAGAAGGTCTGAAAGTAGTCAACTCCCTGCCGCTGACTGAAGCCACGAGCCACGTAACGCGCCTTGAAGACAGGCGGAGAACCTGGCGGCCGCTTCACCCTGAAAATCCACATGCCACTGACGATGTTCGCCCCAGGAGGGGGGACAGCATCAACGTAGGTGCCTGTGGACTTCCAGGAAGCCATCTCTACATCCATAGCTGCCTGCCACTGAGAGGAGTAGGGACCCTCTATCGCCTCCGCGTAAGAGCGCGGAGTCGGGATGTCAAGTGCATCCGGGTCTCCCTCAGGGGTAAGCAGTACGGACAAGAGATGAGGTGAAGCAGCTGCCAGACACTGGAACTCCTCCTGCCTGTCCTCAAGGACGTCCGTGCCAAGGGCACACTCACCCCCGACGGACGGAGGACAGATAGACTCAGACTCAGTGACAAGACTAGCAGCGTAGTCTAAGCGACAGCGAGCAGCAAAGTCGACGAGCTCAATAACGAGAGCAGACGCTGCAGTAGACTCCAAAGAAGGGTCAATGACAGCAGTAGCAAGGAGACGCGTGACAGTAGGACTGGCAGCACGAAGAGAGTCCGACTCAGGGTCGGCAAGTGGAGGAAGAGAGGACTCAGGAGGGGAAGGCAAAGGGGCACGCAGAGGAGCAGTAGACGGACGCAGAGACATCCGGTGCGTGCCAGGGACAGGAGGAGGACGCTGGCGCGAACCGCGACCACTAGCGCGAGCAGCACGGACAGGCGACGCAGGGCGAGACGCAGGCTCACGACGCTCAGTAAGACCTCCAGTAGGACCAGCGTAGGGAGAAGGAGCAGGCAGAGGAGAGGCAGGCTGTAGCTGTGACTGTGGCGGGACAGGCTGTAGACACTCTAAGGGAGGAGGAGGACCAGTAGAAGGAGGAAGACCAAGAACCTGCTGGAGGAGTGGAACAAAGTACGGTCAAGGCCGCGTGACGACGCCAGAAGCAGCAGGGACAGCACCTGTACCCTCAGTAGGAGCACCCGCTCTAGCAGCACCTCCAGCAGCACCAGGAG